TGGGGGAGAACAAAAGTCTAAGGTCAGGCCATGCCTGATTGTCTCCAAGACCCAGGCATCGGTAGTGGTCTGCTCGCAGACCTCGATGAAATTCCTTAACCGACCTCCTATGGGAGTGTCCTGTCTGGCGTCACTTGGCGCGTTTAAAGGGTCGGCCTCCCGATCCTCTAAAGGGACGCCCTGACTGAAACTGGCCTCTGGCTCCCCTGTTTGGGCGATCCTGGGAACGATCCTGTCTTGAATAGAAGGATCGTGAGCCTCTAGACCAATCCCAGGATTGCCCTGGTCGAAAGGGCTGTGCCCAGTCCCAGGAGTTGCCTGGGCGGAAACTTTGCCTCCGGAATTCCTGACTGCCTCTCCTGTCCAATTTCTTTGATGGATGGACTAGAATTTTCCTTTTGTCCCTACTCTCGCTTACATGTGGATCCAGAATGGATCCAAACAAAAATGACCCACTGTACTTGGACGTCGAAAGACGCCACTTGGCCTTCAGATCTGTCTTCCAATTTTTAAGCCACAGTAGTCAGCGAGAGGCCACTGTAGCCGCAATGGATCTTGCCGCATACTTGGTTGCATGAAGTGAGGCATCAGCCATAAATTGTGATGCCGCCAGTATCTTGGCCAAAGTTTGGTGAGCTCTGACCTGATCTGGAGGTACAGTGGTTTGTAGCTCGCGAAGCCACATTATGCACGCCCTGGCGAAGAATGATGATGATGTTGCCGCCTTGGCCGCCCAGGCTGCGGCCATGTGGGAACGACGGAGGGAGTGCTCAAATTTCTTTTCCTCTGGTTTCAAGGCCTCCGCCACGTCCCCTGGAATCGCAGAAGTAGAAAATAATGAGATCAAGGGACTATCTATTGCGAGGACATCTAACATGCCCGAAAAGGAAGGAGAAACATTGAACAGTTTCCTTTCCACGCTATTAGGTGCTGGTGGTGTTGCTAGGGAATCCCATTGCTCCTCTAACGTGGTGCGGAAAACCTCAGGACAAGGAATGTACTTGTCCTGTGGAACTTTCTTGGCAAAGAGAGGGTTTGCCTCTTTGCTAGTAGAAGGACTTTCCTCCTGAACTGCCTTTATCAAAAGTGATTTTAGAAGAGCTGGATCAAAGAGGCCAGAGCTCGTTGCCTGCTCAGGAGTGGACCCTTCATCCTCCAAGAGGGGCATATCAGACATGTCTAGGTCTAGTAATTCTCCCTCTCCTATTTGAGAGGAAGTTTCAGAAATGTTTGTAGCCGGAGCCTTACTTCGTCCCTTAAGGGATGGTTGAAAGGCTACTTGGCCCTTAGAAGCCATAAATTGGGAAAAGGCATCCTGCATGAATGCCTGAAATTGGGCAGACCATATGTCCTCCTGGGCTTTGTCCGTGGACGCAGCCACAATGGGAGTATGGTCTGGTGAGGAGGCAGGTGAGGAGGAGTGGGAGGAATCCAACTGCTCGGTTTCCCCCAGAGGAGACCAAGTTCTGAGAACCTCCTGGGGGGTAGGTTCTGTAATAGGGGCCACCAATGGGGCAGGGGAAACCATGCTTGTCCCATTGGAACTGGTTTTCTGGGCCCTGGCAAATTGTCTTTCTAGAGCCAAATGTCTCCTCGAGGCCTCTCGCTCAGCTGTTTTGGATGGTCCCCTTTGGGTAAGATGCTTTGTTTTAGCTTTCTTCTTCCCCCCCCCCCACCTCAGATTCAGAGGATCTGCGTTTTTGTTGTTGTTGTGGGGGGGGGCAATTGGGGGACCTGCATAGCTGAATACGAGACATTGTCTGCCATTGTGCCAGGTACCCCGAGTAGGCAATACCCGGAGTGGGGAATAAATTGTACGCAGATCGGTTGCAGATGAATGAGGCCTGCAAGGCTTATTCTGCACAGAAGAAAAGAATGGCCGGACAGACAGGTCCCTTTGGAAGGAAGGATCCTGTGGGCAGTGACTAAAGGTCACCTTGAAGAACAGTGGATCAATTCAAATTTTTTCCTCCCTCTCCTTCACCAAGGGCGATTGTAATGGCCCGGATTAGAAGGCAAATGATTTGCTGGCGCTGTGATTATGTATTCCCCAATGTGTGGCTGTGAAAACAGTCCACCGGGTGTGCTTATAATCCTTTCTACCTCTCCCTCTCTCTCTCTATCCCTCACTTTTTGTGGAAAAAACTCCAAGAGTATGAGCCAACTAATATGGAGGCTATAAGAATTACACCCAAAATGGAGTCTAGGTGAAGGCTACGCCTTCCTGCTAACTGCCAAGAAGAACCACAAGGTTCAAAATGGCGAATTTGCTCCAACGGTCGCTCCGTCGGCTGAGGAGGCTTTGGGGACGGCAGAAGCTATTTTTAGAAACTTTCTTTCGCTCCGAGAAAAAAACCCCACGAGTCCTCCTGAATGGACCGTGGTTTTCCTGCATGCTACGGGCTGAATAGAAAACGGCCGTCAAAAGGGTGGAGGAGTTGCCGTTTGCTGGCAATCCCCTAAATCCTGGGCGCCGCTGCTCTAATTAGCCCTGGGGCTTTCTTGCACGGCCCAGCTGATCCGGGAGACAAAGGCAGCCGGCGCTCCCTAATGTCTCCGCTGCCTCTCACAGCTTCTCTCGGCTGTTTGCTCTCCTCTTTTTTTTTTTTTTTTTTTGAGATACTCTCACCACTCCTGGTCGACGCCTTCAAGGAACGGCGATCTGCGGCTGCTCGGAGCCCCGAGCCAAGGCTGAGAGGAAAGGGATTCCCTGTGAGCTTTTTTACTTTGAATTGTAAATTTGGCAGAGAGAGAAGAGGGCTTTAGGCCTAATTGTAGAATCTTTGTCAGGAGCTAAAATTTTAGCTGCTAACGGGCTTCAAGACTGAGTCAAAACTGGGGTCACGCCCAAGGGAAGGGTGTGGCCAAAGTTTTTACCCAGTCTGCTGGGCAGGAAGGATGTCATAGAACCCAACCATTGGACTCTACAGCCATCCTGCTGGAGAAATGTTTATAGATTTTAACTTTAAAAGTGGCATTGCTTTGGGAAGCAGTAATTGGCAGTTGAGGATTTGCTTCTTGGTGTTCAATATAAATAAAAGATGTATATAAATAAAAGCAAAATGCTCCAGAGATCTCTATTGGTTAAGATATGCAATTGGGTGTTATTTTTAGTAGTTTTCTTGAATTTTGAAGGAAATCTGAACTTCTTTGCTACTTATCCCTATACAATTGTATGGATAATGGCCCTCGTTGCCCAGCTCCATATTGTGGTTCATTGTTTAAAGTTACTGCCACAAAAATAATTGCGAATGAAAGTTCTACTCCCTGACCTCCCTGCTCAGTAATAATTTTGTTTCGATTTCAGTTATATTCCTGACATATTTACTTCACTCTTTAAAATATGTATATTTATTCCATTCCCTACATGCAAATTTTACCCAATAAAAGATAATCCTATATGCACATTTTGAAGCTTTTAATAAACTTTCCAGATTGTACTTGGCAATGAAAAACATTTTTTTCAATTTATACCAATATGTTTAGGTATAGAATAGGATAGCATTGATCACCAGTGTCTCACAACTAATATACAACTCCCAGCACCCCCAAAACTATTCTCCTACATTTAACCAGTGCAATTTTTTAAAAATCAAAGGTGCAAATGGGGTTCTTGTTGTTACATTCCAGAGTCACAATTTGCAGGAGCAACTTCAGCCCTTTGGAGAGAGATTTGAAAAGATAGGAATGAGAGAAGGTGACTACTCCTGTGCCCACCCTTTAAATCCCCAAACAATATCAAATAAGCCAAAAATTCTGACATTTCATCTCCATGTTCATTTTGCTTTGGTTTAACGTTAAACCTAGTTTCAAATTTACTATTTTCTTTATGGAGCTTACATAAATTGTCTAGTACTTATTCTCAGATTGAGATTTAGATATCTTTCTTCCAACAATGACCTCCAAAAACATTTAGTTCTCATAATTCCCAGAGTCAATTACTTCAACAGATATGTATATTTCATTCCATTTAGGACCAAGATCTTTCTGTAGTCTTTCTCTCCATCTTGTAGCAAGTCATTTACTTGGCTACCACATTTGAATAAGATCTTTAGCATTTGTCATTCCATTGTTTCAATTGAGATTTGTTGACTCAAATCTTCTGTATCTGATTTCTATAGGTTCTACATCATCTATATACAGTATGTATGCATAGAATAGAATAGACTAATAATTTTATTGTCACTTTGAATGTACACTAATTGGTATACATTAAAATGAAATTTCATTGTATACAGCTCTCAAAGGGTCACCACCTCCAATATACACTCCAATATACACTAAAAATAAATAAATACAGAATCATGCATATACCCACATATATTATATGACACAGAGGAACAACACTGTCTAGTTCAGATTATGTATACATGTGCATGGAGAGAAAAACAAATCTTACGAGTTTACCAGAAAGATAACATAGGAAACAAAGCTATTACAGAATCAGATAGTCCTGCTAGAAATACTTCAAAACCTATTTCACTTTCTCAAAAGAAATTGTATACCATTTTTGCAGAACCAGTGAATTTTGTCAATTAATTTACTTGCTAATCTTTTATGTTAGTTTAATTTCACCCAAAATATATTATCTTAGTAAATGATCCTGATTCAGTAATAGTAAAAGTGTAGATTGTATTTCTTTGGTGGAAATCAAGAAATTATTGTGCTCATAAACCTGGTATATCAAGTAATGACACTATTTTATTACATCTTGCTTAATATTCTAATGAGACATTGCAGTGATTTCTTGTTATGTTTTAAATATGTGTCTTTTTCAATCTACAAGTAAATTATTATTTTAAATGACAGCTTATTTAACTTCTGGGGTTTTAATTTCAACAGATTGTTGCTAGAAAAAGTACAAACGTGAAATACCTGGTATAGTTTTTCTTTGTTTATTAAACATTTTGAAAATAATTTGCCTTCAAAAAAAAACTTCAGAAACTGTGTGAAAATTTTACCATAGTGCCTAGTTTTAAATTACTTTTTTTCTTCCTTAGATGAATCCCAGACAATGGAGCCATATATCTGAAAGTGCCAAAGATCTAGTTCGGCGTATGCTTATGCTTGACCCAGCTGAAAGAATAACTGTTTATGAGGCACTTAATCATCCTTGGCTGAAGGTATGAAAAACAAAAATCTTTAAAAATCCGAAAGTCCTTTCACATACTTATTTACTAACATGAATTACATTCTTACAAGTCCATTGATAATTTATGTAATAATTTATTGCACTTATTCTATAAGTATCCATTGTTTTGGGTAACTTATTAGAATACATAAATACAATTCTCAATTCACTTAAAATTTTAAAATGACATTAAAACTAAAATATTTAAAATATTAAAAATTTGAGTAAAAAATACCAGTTTAGCCCCTCCCCCCAAACTGTACTAAGATGCCAGATGGAGTATGCCAAAAAAAAAGCGGCATTTATTATTGATATTAAATATATTTGTGGGCAAAGGCTACAAAAATGACCCAAAGAGGACTGTAACTATTCGGAAGATTGTATATGAATAGATAGCTGTATTGATAATTTTACCCTCAACCCTCTTTTTTATTTAAACATACATTGAGTTCTTTACTCTTGTTTATTTCATTTTTTTAAAAAAAATAGAGAGTAAAGTATTCTTTGCAAAAACTAGGATAATTGCTTTTGCAAGAATGTTAAGATATTATTTTACATCTAAAATCCAGTATTTGCTTTTGATTCACATTTTCTATTAATTTAAAATATACAGATTAAACCTTTCTAAAAGACATAAAAAGCTCAATTCAAAAATGGAATAATGAAAACCAGTAAAATTGAATATTAGGAAAACATTCAGCCAAGATATCACTAAAATAACTAACTGTATGTTAGAACTCAGCAATATAAAATTCAAAGGCAAAGTAATCAAATAAAGGTTCACACCATAAAGATCTACAAAGATTTTTGTTACTTAGTTTGTTTTGTACATCATTACTAAATGGATTAACCAAACCAGACAATCCTTTATAAATAAAGTTTCAGTTGGCATAAATATCTAAACAGTAGTAAATAGTCCTACATTTCCATAATGAGAGTTATTCCAGAACATTTTTAAGAATTATTTCTAGGAGCTTGTTCTATTTAGTGATATTCTTTTAAAACTTACAAATTTACATAAATTTCCTTTAAACAAATCCTTTACTGTTCAATTGCTCTATTACAGTGGTTCTCAACCTGTGAGTCGGGACCCCAATTGGGTCGAACGACCATTTCACAACGCAGTCCGTCATTTTTCCCCCCTTTTCCTTAGCTGTGCTACTCCCTTTTATTCTATTGGCTTTTGAAAGCCAATAGAATAGACTCTCTTGAATATTTCAAAAGCCAATAGGAATTGTCCAGGCTGTCTCTGCCCTGCTGAGTCCGCCAAAAGTCCCATTCTGCAAACGGTGCTGCACCAGTTGAGTAGTCCTCGACTTACGGCCGGTTGAGCAGTCCTCGACTTACGACCGGTTGGGGGTCACGGCATTAAAAAGGTTGAGAACCACTGCTCTGTTATATCCAAGAATTCTCTTTATAAATGCATATGAATATACATACAGATGTATATATGTACAATATATAAATTTAAGCCAACATAGTCAATTTGCACCAAAGGTCTGGAAATAGTTTAAAATTCTTTCTACCAAAATTACTTGAACATTTTCGCACCAAAACTTCTCATACATTTTCTGCAGTCATTTTAGTTGTGTATCTTTCTCATACTTTCTTCTGTACCTGCAATAACTACTACTCATACTTTCTTCTGTACCTGCAATAACTACTACTGTACCTGCAATAACTACTACTGTTACTATGGGATCAAAACAGCGGCCAACATCTTGTACAATCCTGTTGTTCAAAATGAAAAGGGAAGGAATTTAACACTGAAACAAAGTTGGACATAATTATGTTGCAACAAAGCTGGTGAAAGATCTCTAGCCTTTGGCAAATATACTAGACAGAACATAACATTAATAAAATTCATAGTGTCATGATGCATTCCATATCTTGTATGCCATGATAAACATATGCATTAGAAATCCAGCTATAGAAAAGACTATATCCTTGACACTGTGTCCTACACCTTTCTTTTTTCCACCAATTCAACAACTTGTTTATATGAATTCACTTTATAAAATGTTTTAGGAGAATATAATCCTAGTGTGAAGCTAGGGAAACCTGTGCTGATAATCCCATTGGGCAAAATTTGTAACTATAAGATGATAGTTGGCTGCTACAAATCTTTGATACCCATAAATATGTATTCTCAAGCCCTATTCACTAAGCAGAGCAATATATAATCAGAAGGACAAGTATTCTATCTCATACCATCTTGTTTGCAAATAGCTTTTTATGTGCTCTGAAATCAAAAGTAGTTAGATAATTTATAAACAATGTAGACTGATTTTTCATTTTATTTGGAATTTTATATAAAAAGTGCTTTAGTCTCATGTTTGTGAAATACCACTGAATATAAGAAAATTACATTGCTGTCTATAGGAGCGTGATCGCTATGCATATAAGATTCATCTTCCAGAAACTGTGGAACAGCTGAGAAAATTTAATGCAAGAAGAAAATTGAAGGTAAAAGAACAATAGCACACCTATGTTAAACTTATTTATTTATGAGACTTATATACCGCTTTAAGTGCGAGCACTCTCTAAGCGGTGTACACTAGTAAGCAATGTATATATATTTACATTGCCCCCAACAATCTGGGTCCTCATTTTACCTACCTCGGAAGGATGGAAGGCTGAGTCAACCTTGAGCCGGTGAGATTTGAACCGCTGACCTGCTGAACACAGTCAGCTAAAGTGGCCTGCAGTACTGCACTCTAACTGCTGCGCCACCTCGGCTTATGATACAGATTTGTAGCAATAATACATCATACAAATTGACTGGCTGTATTAGCATTCAATTTGGAATAGATACTTCAGGAGGTACAAGAATATGAACACAGCATTTGTCTGCTGTTTATCGAAGCAGCTACATCTGTTTCCATGATCACAGTAAAATCATGTGCACTCCTGGAAATGGACCCAGCTGATTTAATGAGTCTGAGATGCTACATTTATGTTCCCATGTATTCCTCAATACTTCTTCCAAATCAAATATGAACATTCATTGCATAATCCCATTATTTAATTGAAAAATGCAATATATTTTTTGAAATCAAAAATTGGCAGAGATATTTGTGACTGATGTATACTTTTCAGTAAGTTGTTTTGTGGTCTCAGAAGTCATGGATTTTTTACGTATACATCTCTCCTTTAATATAAGACTATACTCTTGCATATCTGATTCTCCATGGAGATTCCGTCTTTGATAAGAGAAAAATTCCCCTTTGAAAGTATTCTTTGTTCTCTATAAATATCAAATCTGGGATCATTTATATAATGATTAGAGCATAGAACATTCTACATTAAAGAAGGCTTGATGGAGTTGCTCTCTTCCTTTATTTACATTAGTAGAGATAATGAATGTTTCTGACTTTTCCTCAGAAGTCACCCTTCTACACATCTCTCATAAAATATATAAATAACATGTAGAAGCAGCTTTGATAGCAATATCTGAATCAGCTGGGACTTAAAAGTATAAATCTAAAGCATACACTGAGATAAGCATTAGTTTTTCTAGAATTTTCACATAACACAGCTAACATTCATTCATACAATACTTTTTCCTCATAAATGTTATAAAAGATACTTTCCTTTTTTGGTACTAACCATAGAAACAGTATCAAAAATCCTCTCAAGCACATGTGTTCAGCTGCTGCAGTATATATTTGGGCAGAGATAAACCAAAGGATTATTTATTTCCTAGTTATCACTTTTACATAGAGACAATATTGTTTGAGCTAGGCTTCCTTCAGTTAAGAGGATAGTGTCAGTGGTTAGAATTTAGATATCACTGCAGAGCAGTTTCTTCTTTAATTCAGTCAACTAAAACAGACTGGTCATGGTAAACAAACACAACTGCATTAATAGATCTCTTTAGACTAATAAGGTTTCTTTTTACATCCTATGTTTTTGTAATCAAGACACACTTTTTTATTTGTGCCAAAAATAATTTTTAAGCTAGTTTAAATTATTAAAATCATATAAAACAATTAAGCTTAATTATGCTTTCTTACTTATATAAAGTTGTCAGAGAAAATTTATTGTTTTGAGTTGCATAAAATAGTAGGTGATGGGTGGACATATTTTTTAAAATAAATAATACCGTTCTTTACCTGTACTTTTGCCAGTTTGTGGAAACATTCTAAAGGTCATAGAAAACTAATACTTGTTCCTTTCCTTTTCAATAATTGCTTTGCATATCTCAATCAAACTAGCTTCTTGGTTATTTTTTTAGTATATTAACAGAAATTTGGAGAACAATTTTTGTCCTACTTCATTATTATATGTCACATTCTTTTATGTTTTTTAATTAGAGATTTCTTTTTTTAATTCTCAGCATAGTTCAGCAGGTAGATATTTGAGTTTGAAGGCTGGACTGTCTTATTGGAACCATGATTGCAGCTTCACATTTATTATTTAGTTTCTACCTTTCAATATTTTTATAACTGACTTGGATAAAAAAAAGAAAATTGGTTATCAGATTAGTAGATGACACATTGTCATCTGCAAATATAATAATAATAACAATAATAATAATAATAATAATAATAATTTGCTTTGACAAATTCGCTATTAGTCAATTGCAAAAGGCGGCCTTACTAGGAACTGCTTCCATCCTGCGACGATACCTGTAATACCATCAAACATCCACATCTGCCTAACCCAGGTCCTGGGTAAGGCCTCGATAGGTAGACAAAATGCCAAATCCAGTCTGAACATCTGGCTGACTGTGCGATGATCCATAATAATAAAGTTGGAAGGGACCTTGGAGGTCATCTAGTCCAACCCCCTGCTCAGGCAGGAAACCCTATACCATTTCGGACAAATGGCTGTCCAGTCTCTTCTTAAAAACTTCCAGTGTTGGAGCATTCATTGCTTCTGGAGGCAGGTTGTTCCACTGATTAATTGTTCTCACTGTAAGGAAGTTTATCCTTAGTTCTTGGTTGCTTCTCTCCTTGATAGAATGTTGAAAATAGGAATAAAATTCAAAACAAACAATTGGGTCAGAGAAATGGGCTAAAAATAATGGAATTAACAAATGAATAGGATGTATTCATACTTGGTAACAATACTTGCGAAAAAGATTTTAGAATAATAGTTAACTGCAGCCTGAATATGAATCTGTGAGGTAACCAGGGCAGATGAAATTTTAGACTGCATCAACATAAATAAAATTTCCAAATTATGGGAAGTAATAGTCCCACAATTTTAGTTTGATCATGTTACAAATAATATATTGTAACTAGTTCTGGGCATGATATTTTTAAGAATGATTCAGAAAAATGTAAACAGGTTCAGAAAAAAAGCTGCAAAGATGATTAACAAGCTAGGAACAATCCTGTGAAGAGTGTCCATATACTGGAGAGGATATCACACAAAAGGTCAGGACCTGTTGTTAATCATTCCAGAATGCAAAATGTAAGATAGTTTCTTTAAATTGGAGAGAGACAGATTCCAGTGGCTGTTAGAAAAACTTTCTAGAAAAAACTGCCCAGAGAGATGATAGACTCACTTTCAATAAATCTATTCAGGCAGAGGCTAGACAATCAGGCTTTATGCAGTGAGCATGGGATTAGAATTGATGCCCTAAAAGCTCCTTCCAACTTTATATATCTTGTAATTTGTTATGTTTATTAAGAAGAATTAAGTCCAGGAAGTGAATTCTGTTTTCCATCTTCTGCCTTCAGAAAAATAATGTTACTAACCAGACAAGAAAAAACAATTTTGAATGTTTCATTCTCAACTAAAAGATATGTCCAGTAGAGAACAGGAGTGTTCAAAATTTTCACTATTAAGAGTGAAAAAACTATCAGTTTCAAGGACAAAGCAGATATGCCTTCCAGTGAACAATTTGTGTATAGTATTAGTTTATGTATGCTAATCCATAATACTTTTATAAAAGATCAAAGAAAAGAAGCTTTTCTTTTATCCTGGAGGTACGCATGGCACTAAGTCTCTTTACAGATGACCATTAGCTATCTTGTACAATTCTAAAATATTTTCAGAACTGTATGTCCAGTTGAAAATTTCCACATCATTTGGAAATAGCCAGTTTTATTATGGAAACACTTAAGATTCTTCTGATTAATTCCAACGATGAATATTAATCTAAAGTGATTCATAAAATTTGTTGAAATAACATTGATGTGCAATTAGTAACAAGTTTTATTTATCTAGGGTGCAGTACTAGCAGCAGTATCAAGCCACAAATTCAATTCCTTCTATGGTGACCCCCCTGAAGAACTGCCAGATTTCTCAGAAGACCCTACCTCCTCAGGTACTTTTATCAAAAGTATATTAAGCTGTTACGTAGTTTTACAGATGCTTCCAGGACCAAGTAAGACTTCATTAAGATAAATTTGGCTTTACAGAATTTTACCTATAGACCAGACATATCAAACTCGTGACATCGCGCAACATATCGGGACAGTTTTGCCATTGCTGGCAATGGGATGGGCGTGGTTTCCGGATGATGCGTCCGGCCCACGGGCTGGCAGTTTGACACCCCTGGTATAGACAATGCAAAAAATGATAGATAGGACACTATGCAAATGGTGGTCCAATTTATACAAAAACTTAATGCAGAAATTACTGGGATAGTACATAAACTTGGGACTGACTATATTTTGACAACTAAATTATTTGAGTTCAGTTTTAATTCATGCTTTCAATTATTTGTTTAAATAGTGCTGTTAGAATGCTATAGTTCTAATTTGGTCAATGTTTTTACTGATGTATCATTATTTTAAGTGTCCAAACCAGTTCTGAAGTCAGTCTAGAGTTGTGCAAATCCCCAACCATATTAACATCTTTGAAAATTTGAAGACAGATCCAATTAACTATGTAAGCACAGTAAAGACTTATATACACAAATACAAATATGCTTCTTGAGTTTCTGCTTATTAAAAGTTGCATTATATTATTAATATTGACAAATCCACTACCAAAGAAGATAACTTGGTCAATTGTTGTAACACATGTGAAATAAAGATAATTCTCTTGTTCTTTTAATATTCTTTGTACTATTGCAAAAAAGAAAAAGTAATTTCTGACTGTTCTTTTTTTCTTCTGTATCTTTAATTGTAGCCATCCTTGTATTGTTGTTTGGAGAATATTTGAAATAGCAGAAAAGTTTTCTTCTGTAAAAGTCTCAGTGCAAATCATCTAGGAAGACATAGCAGGCAGACTTTTGAGGACTTGGGGAATATGAACTGTATTATTTTACCCTTTTGCATTTTTTATCCCTTATAGCCCAACTGAAGCAAATTCTTATTTTTTTTCTTTCCCGTGATCTTTCGCTCTGTTAGAGGGATAAGGAAAGGGAGGTAGTCCTTGACTTACAACAGATCCACAAAAGGTACTTATGGTCAGGTCTAAAGCCCCCCCCCCCCCGCAGTCACATGCTGCATTTTGGGTACTCAGCAATTGACCCACATTTAGGGCCACAACAGTTTAATGCCTTTTAGTAGCCCCTGAAGCCAGCTAAGGCTCCCCTGAATGGCTGATTAGCTGGATTGGCAGCAGGCCAATGCCTGCAAGGACACAGTAGCTTTGCACGTATAGCCCCTGCAACCAATCTGAGGCTCTCCTAAGTGGCTACCTGGGTTGGAACCAACCGAGGTCTCCTGACCCACAGCAGGTTTACATCTACCCGTGAACCCAGGGCCTCTCCAACCTGTTGAATCACTCCCTCAGTCCACTTAACAACCCACATGGTTGTTTGACAACAGCAAATAGGTGAGCCAGGATGGTGGTTGCTGAGTTAATTAGTCATGTGACATCTCATTTAACAACTGCTTCATTCAGCAACTGAGATTCTAAGCTCAACTGTGGTCATAAGTCAAGGATTACCTGTAGTTGGAAATAATAAAGGTACTAATCTGAGTATGCTAGCTGAGCCGAGCTGTTCCAGTTTTTTCTTTGTGCATTTATATACGTTTGTATATATTGATGTGAAGACATTTGTATGAATGATTTAACTATATGTGTGTATATACAAACACATACAGAGCAATGATATAAATTATTTTGCAAATAGGATTTCATTCTTCCAAGCAATTTTTGTCAATAGTCATAAATGTGTTAATACTTATTTTTTGTCTTGGCTTTATTGGTGAGATCGGCGGCACAGACATTTAATAAATGAATGCATATTTTTCTGACTATTGTATTGCATACATGTATATACGTGTATATGCAAGTGTTTATGTGAATACATTTCATGTAAAGGCTCCAGTATAGACTTCAGAGATGGTTGACAACTTTAGTTGACAAAGCAGGAAAATTAGGTAGTGCGGATATTTCCAAATACAGTTAATCCTCATTTAACGAAGATAATTGGGACCATCACTAAGTGATGCAGTCTTAAAGCATGACATCATGTGTGTAAGGCCCTGCCTCAGCTGAATCTCTCAAGAAAGCAGAACTAATGAAACTGGCATCATTACAACAGGATCTTTATTGAGCATTAGTGAAAGCAAAAGAAGGCAGGTAGGATCTGAAAAGCCCACGCAAATTCACTAGGTTACACACTAAAGTTTAAAACCCCTCCCAACTGCCCAGTCCATAGGAGCCAATCCAGAGGTATGAAAATGTTGTGAGAACTCTGGACAGAGACAGTGATAAGAAGATGTTTCCCAGACATCTCTTCCACGTTGAAGCAGAGCAGATGGCTTCGGGTAATTTCCTCCCCCCCCCCTTACATTCCCCAGAAAGATATCAAGTGAAGAGGAACTGATGACTCCAAAGGGCCCCCCTACCCTCAGAATGGCAGCATCCCGATAGAGATCTATAGGGACCTGACAATGTGACTGCATTGCTTAGTGACAGAAATTCCAGCACTTCCCGTTGCTGTTGTTAAGCAAATCCTGTGGCATTGTTAAGGAAGGACATTACATGGTTGTCATTTGCCACCACCTATCAACTTCCCTATTACTTTGCTTGTAGGAAGCCAACAAAAAAGGTTGCAAATCTTCTGGGATTCTGTAATTTTGTGATTGTATTGCAGTATAGAGTTAATATATCCAATCAAAGTGGCACATAATAAGTATTTTCATATTCTTTCAGATTTAATACACACACACAAATTATAAATTTTCAGATGATTGGTCTTTTCAATGTAAATAAGATTTAGTAGTTTTCTACTTGCTCATCAGTCCTTTTTTTATTTATTTACCGGCATGATTTTGCTTTCTTGTTTTAAAATAACATGCGCTAGTAGGACATGTGAACTCCTGGATTTTGCTTTAGATTTTTGTTTAACTAAAGTAATTTTTTTTTTAGAATTCTGACTTGTAGAATGCAGTGTTAGAATTCTGACCTGTAGCTAAGAATAATTGACTTGTAAATCTTTAATAAAAATCTCATCTCTATCATGAACTCACTAGTTATGTTACAAGCTGGGCTAAAATGCTTTGAAAATTCAGAAAAGCTATATAAATACTATTAGTAATTATGATTATTAGTAATTATGTATATACAATATTTTTATTCTTTCTGTATTTCTAAGCTTATAAAATGTGGTATGTTTTCAGAATGTATATTTTAACCATCTTGCTCTTGGTAGCCGAACAAACTTGAAAACTAAGGGAAAAGTCAGTAGAAACATCATTTTAAACATCCTGATTCTGCTTTACTTGGTAATATGAAGATATTATCTCTTTTTCCACATACAACTCTTCTCTTGATGCATGTTCAACTCAAAATATATAAGGTCCTCACATTAAGGGGAATCCACATAGTATATCCAGTTTTAGGGATATTTAAGAAAAAAAGCCTTCAGAGCAGTTTTATATTAATAGTAATTGATTGTTTCCACACCGTAACTTTAGTTACTCATGGTTTTGCTGCTTAACCATTAATAGTTTGCTTTTCTCGATTCTGACTTGTTCCACCACTCTGTCCTCTGCCTACTCAATCTCATACATTTTTGCAGCACTGTGCCATAATAAGAAAATTATATATTCAGTAAAGTACGGTAGAGGAATAACTTCTAAGTGTCATTAAGTAATACTATATATGCACATCTGTATCTTGCTTAAAAATCAAATTCATATTTTTGTCAGAGGGAGAATGAAGAAACTTTTCACCTTATCAGCACACAAAAACTTACCCTACCTGACTTTCAACCACTAAGGCTTTTAGGGTTTTTTTTTTTTAGGACATCTGAAACCTTGTTTCATTTTAATAATCCACTATCCAGATGAAAATTCACAGTCTCTGAGATACCATATTCATAGAGATGCCAACCAGCTGTGAGATTAACTATTTCAATTTACTGTTCTTTTTCCATATCAGTGCAAGGCAGAATGAAAAGCCTGGGTCAGTGGACAATAAAAAGTTAATGTTCTTTCCTTATAAATGTTCCTATAGAATTAAAGTTGGAAACGCAGTATTAAGCATTAAAGAATATAATCCATGTCTGCAATCGCATTACATCTCAACGCAATCACTGTTGAAGACTATTCCACTTTGGTTTCTAGGGTGTTTCCCCCCTTCTGCTGCGAAAATAATTTTTCTTTTCAAATCTGACTGGACAGAAAAGATTGGGCTTAATGTGCTAAAGTAGGTGGGTTTACAGGTTGTGTTGCCTATCTTGACTATATAATTTATAGGCTGGAATTAAGGCTGTTAAATACAATAAGATTTCTGATTACACCATAGCTATAAGATCAGGCAGAAGTTTGTCTCTTTATTGCCATCTAGAAATCACCCTAACCCAGATCTGATAGCTCCAGAATAATTGTGCTTAGAATTGATCTATTACATCATTCTTTTATTTACTAATCCAGTGTTAAAATATAATTCATTTGATTATTTATGAATGGAGTGAAAATATGTTTTTATCTCCTAATTTCTGATTATCTAGTATGGAGTAAAAAGAAAATATCTTTGGGAGGGAAATGCTAAAGAAAAGTCCTATTTTATAGTGAGTGAAATGTTTAGTTTTTATGTAAAATAATTACATTATTAGAATTGTTAACTACTATTTTTATATATAGTGTAAAAATATGCAGCGCTACAATCCATGAAGAATTTCTGTAAATGAATATTATAATTTTAAGAAAAGACAAATACTGTATAGCTCCTTTTTGCTTGTGAATTTAACTGCTAACGGTCAACATTTAAATTTTAATATTTTCTAAAGAAATTAGAAGAGGATATAAGTGCTACTGAAAATATTAATGGATTCAGTATTTATTTAGCTACATTTATGGTTTTATTTTATCTGTTTATTTTGCATCAATGTATATATATTTATAGTACTTTGCTTCTGAAATGAAAGAACATTATTTTATTTTGTAAGAATAGGATTTAGTTAACATTTAACTGATAATAAAAATGTGAAAAATAAGCTATAGATATGAAGTTCAAGGTGGCAAATATATATATATATATATATATATATATATATATATATATATATATATATATATATATATATGAAATAATATTCCTATAATTACAATAAAATTGGTTGGTTGCATCACATTGTAGTTCCAATATTGTACCTGAATACATACACTGTATTCACAGTACTGCAATTACTATTTACCAACCATGACAATGCTATCATAAGTTTACTGGGGTTATCACTACTTGTTTTTTAGAACATGAAATTTAATTTCAAATTTAATAAAAGCAGTGTTGATTGTTAATTATTAATTGAGAATATTAAATGTATGATTAATCCAACCTTAATTTCACAGCCTTATTCATATATAATTTTTGATTTTAATAGACTGACCTCAGTACAGTTATTAACAATTGCAACCTATATTTATTAAAAATATATACAGCTGATATATTTGTGTTAACAGTTTATATAACAAATCAATGAGCTTCCTCACTTAAACATAATGTAACAAGCAGTAAGTATTTTGTACTTCCTTAAATTTCAGAACTAATAATTACTAAAAAGTTGGATGTGCAGCACTATGAAAATATAATGTAAATCCTTTAATTTAGTAATGTGTGGAAGGTTTTTATTTTGTTTTTGGTTTTTTTGTGTGTGTTTTACGGTTGTGCTAATGCTCCTAGTTGCAGCTTTTACAATTGTTTTGAAATCCTCATACTATTTGTTGTTTGTCCAAATGCTGCCTTCCTGCTAGGACTTCTAGCTGCAGAAAGTAGGTATTCTTTGTTTTCCTCTAAAGCTATGCATTTAGCTATTATGTTTGGCTTTGCATAATTAAATCATGATTTTTCCCTGCTTAACATATCCTAGTTTTAATACTATCTAAGCAATTAAAGAACAAAGATACAGTATATTTTTATTTCAATATGCTCATGGTAGAAGATGAATACAGGTACTCCTCAACTTACAACCAAAATTGAGCCCAAAATTTATATTGCTAAGTGAGACATTTGTTAAATAAGTTTTGCCCCATTTCTTGCCACAGTTGTTAAGTGAATCATTGCAGTTGTTCAGTTAGCAACTTGGTTGTTAAGTGGATCTGACTTTCCCATTGATTTTGTTTGCCAGAAAATCGCAAAAGCTCATTATATGATCCTGGGACACTGTAACTGTCATAAATATGAACCAGTTACCAAGCATCCAAATTTTGATCACATGACCATGGGGATGTTGTAACAGTAACATGTCACTTTTTTCAATGCCGTTGTAACTTGGGTCACTAAATGAACTGTTGTAAGTTGAGGACTACCTGTACAGTAAAAATTATTTGTTTTAAAAGTTTAGTTTGAGGGAAGAATTCTTTTTAACATAAGGTTGCAACATCTGTTCATGATAGATACTCTTAAAATATCTATCTTTAAGGGCACCAGAAAGAAAAGTAAAAATCTCTATGGAAAATAGTCTTGTTTTTCTAGCCATATACATATCCAATTTATATTCTGATAATTCATATCTTGAGATTTAAGGAATATAAATGTCAAATGTTACTTTGACATTTTTTGCATATTGTGAAGTTATTCAGTGGATCTAGTTAAAAGAAATTGGAATTGTCATTGAATTCTAATTATTAGTATTATATAATTATTTAATTACTACATACATATCATTGACTACAGAGTAACCTTCATAGAAACTCCCAATTTTTATGTATTTTTATAACATTTATATATCATTTGCCCAGTAAAAGATGGCAAAAATGACAAAAAAGTTAAGGCACCAGGCTAGAAAGCAGGAGAGCATAAGTTCAAGTCCCGCCTTAGCCATGAAAGCCAGCTGGGTGACTTTGGGTCAATCACGCTCTCTCAAGCTAACCTACCTCACAGGATTGATATTGTGGGAAAAATAGGATGAGGAAGATGTATTGGGTATGTTTGTTGCATTGAGTTATTTGTACAAATACGAACAACAGTATATAAATAAATAGATAAAAGAACAGACTCACACAACTCAAAAACCTGTATAAATGTATTTATATGCAAAAATTAACTGTGTCACTTTCTGGTGTTTATAATTTCATGATTTAATGCATCTGTTAGTTAATTTGCTTTCTTGCCAAAATGTAATTAAAAGGCTTCATTAAAAATATTAGTATTCTTCAATTTTTATTACTGACCAGTAATGCTAGAGATTGTGCAATATCTATCTAAAATATCCTTGATCTGACTTTGATCTTTGATGAAACAAAAGGGTCATAACTGAGACACATTCAAACATATACTCAAATATACTGACCATAAAATAAAATAGTTACAGTCAGAAAAGGCATATTACTGATGCTAAATCTCCATGTCTGTAAAAATCTAATAATAGTCTTGAATGAATAACTTTTATATGAGTGGCATGAATGTTAGCAAGATCTATCTTCAACATTTATTCCTCAACCAAATTTTACATCAGAAGTATATGAATCATCTCTATTTAAATGGGCAATATGTCTTCCATTTGAGATCTTGGAATAGTTCTATGTTTTTTTCCACTGTCGACGTGCAATTCATAATATATTCTGTTTGAAATCTCTGTTCAGAGGTATTAATAAGCATTACTGTAATTGACTACAACTGCCCAATTAATTTGATACATCTAAGGAAAAATGTTAGGAAATCTTGTGAAAAAGATATGAAATCAAGATATGCTGTGTCAGTAGTATTTCTATAATGCAGTGATACTTACCAAAAAAAAGTTGAAATAAGGTTGACTTGATATTATTTACTCCTTATCAATCTGTTTGATTTCTAGCAATTGTCTTGATTTATAAAAACTCATTTAACCTGTTTGTTTTAGTATAATATTACATCCAGTTTTGTGGATTTTCTTTTCTCTGTTTTCTAAGTATAAGAACATCATTTCCATTATTTTAGCAGTCTTGCATTCTCTCAAATGTTTCAAAATTACAGTTTATGAGTGTGGGGAAAAAATGAAAATATTTTCACTTAGATACTTAAACTCATTTAAAAGAGTAAGTTGTTTGTTAATTATCTTCTTTATCCTGGGCTTCAAGTCCCACTTTTACCATTATTTCAACTAATCCTTATTGAAGTTTCCTTGTAGGGTAGGCAAAACACAAAGAGAAATTCACAGATGCTTCTCCCTATAGGATTGAAAAACCTGTTGTTATATTACAGGTCTCAGACATCATTTGAATTTGTATTTTTCTGTTAACCAAGACATTAAACATTTAATCATAATCAAAATTGATTTCATTTAAGCCATATTGAATATATAACAAGTTTTTTTCTTTACAATAATTACATTTATTGCAAAATTACCTTCCCCTTTTAACAACTACTGGTATTTGTTGAATCCCCATTTTTTAAACCCATTTCAGAAGAGAAACTCAATCACATTGAAAGCATTGATAATCGTAATAAAAAAGCAAATTTATTTTTAAAATAATCTGTATATTACTCTAATAGTTATTGGTCCTAAATTTCTTTGATAATGTTTTGGCTCCTAATATAGCAAAGTTTTGTTTTGAGATTTAGAATTAAGTCATACCGCATTAGAAACTTCCTGGTGTAGCCATATTGTTTTGTGTAGATTCCCTTTATTACCTTTAAATATTTTTTTTCAATTATGTCTCTGTTTTCTGACTCATCTATCCTTCTGAATTTTTATTTTCCTTCAAAATTGTATAGATCAGCTTTTCTCTGAAGTTTTTGAAATTAATATATCTCAGATAAGAGTGAGAAATTTCCCCAATTATGGTCTGTTTTCACAGTTTTTACTATCTGGAACTCCCAAATTGATATAATCAGCATCAGTAGGTTTATTATACAGTCATGCAACATGAAATTGCTTGCAGAGTCGGATTAGTTTTCTAAGTTAATTTCTAGCTCCTGGTGTTATAACTAGGATTTATAAATTAAGAATTCTCTTCTGAAAATTTTTCAAGGAGATGCTTTTGTTTTGCTTTGCAACGTATTTAAATGTGTATGTACATGGTACTGCTAATTGTCTGCCTCATTTTTATAGCATTTTTATTCAAAAAGATACAATCAGATTCAAAATATGATGTCAGAGCTTTGAAATCAGGAAAAAGACACTATAAAAGTACCAAACTCTGCTTTATTATTATGGGATATAATAACAGAATCTTGAAAGTCTGACAAAAATTATATTCTCTTATATTAAAGAGAATCAAGGTAGGGCAATCTGAGCTTCTTCCTCAGCCCTTCCTGTCTATCTGAACCAAGCTGATGTTTTCATAACGGTTGTTGAATTCTTCTTTAAAATCATCTACATATTTAAGGTCATCCATTCTACAATTGGCAGGTACTAAACATTGTCCTTTGAACATATTTTTTTTTCGTTTAAAAGCAAAATTTAAATTTATTTCACACATTGCTCTTTAAATATTACCCTCATTGAAAACAAGACTGCATTATTAAAGATTCATATTTTATTCAATGAATGCAGTGAAATATGATCAACATGATGATTTGTCCTAAATATTTTTCTCTCTTCTTTCTCCCTGTGCTTAATAATAGGAGCAGTTTCACAGGTGTTAGACAGCCTAGAAGAAATTCATGCACTTACAGATTGCAGTGAAAAAGACTTAGACTTTCTGCATAGTGTTTTTCAGGATCAGCATCTTCATACATTACTAGATGTAAGTATTGTTTTCTCTTTAAAAAGGATTATTTAATTTTAGCTATAATCAAAAAAATAAAGCAAATAAGAAATATCAAACCGAACTAATTGAACTTAGGGCAGTTCTTAGCAATATTTTTGGTACTGCAGATGAGACAGAAAATGCTCCCTTTCAATATAATCTCTTCAGTAATTCCCTAAAACCAATATGGAGCAAGCTTTGCAAACATGTTTTCACAAAAGTAGCATAAATACCAGATGCCTGCAGATGTACATTGACAATAATTTCAGAAGTGTCCTGCTTAAAATAATGTAAAATCTTAAAAATAAACATATATTAGATTACTTAGAATATTTTACACGTTTCTATAAATCTACATTCATTTTAAATTAAATGTATGCATTAACTGGAGATCAGAGTAACTCGAGCAGTTATAGGCATGCCTCTGTTCACCTATGTAACATCACTATTATAGAAGCTACATTGAATGTTTTACAATTCAAGATTCCAGTAGTCATCTTTAAAGTCCTAAATGGATTAGAGCCTTCGTATATATGGGACCACCTGCTCCCAATGAAAGCTACATGCCCAGTGACAGCAAGCTTGTTGATAGTTCCATAGCCAAGGGAATCCTTAGGGACCCCATGGTCATGTCCTTTGGGCAATACCTCCCTCCCTCCCCTGGATATTCAGATTGTCCCCTTGCTGTTAAGTTTTAAAGATCTTGAAAATACTTTGCAGTACACAGGCCTTCACAGTGACTGCATATACATTGGTTTCTATGTGATTCAGAATCTGATATGTGGCAGCTAGTCATAGCACCTCCACAGTGCTGACAGGCACACTGTACATTAATATCTGCCACTTAAGTGTCATCCTAGCACAACTTTTGTAAGTGAGGGTTAGGCTCATCATTACTGACATGGCGAGTTTATTTCTTTAAACTATATCCAAAGAAGATGAGTATATTGAATGAATCCCTGGCCACAGAATGAAAAACTGTCACTTGCAAATTCAGCAGTTTCAGATCTAAAAAAATCAGGATGCAACTTATCCTCTCAAGCAAAAATGCAGATGGTGGCAGCTCAAGTACCTTTCCTTAATTTCCTCATTTTAGTTGGTTATCTTGCTGAGGGAAATATTTCAAGAGTGAAGTCTATAGAAATATTAAGAAATGAATTTACTCTACAGTAAATATCTTAAATTATTACAAATTGCTATTGGCAAGAAAATATGATTAAATAGCATTGCTTATTTCTGATGTGTCTTTATATGAAGTATCATGAGCAGGCAAGAAGTTGCTAAATATCTGAAAAAATGAAATGGTTATATTTTCTACAGTTATCTATAGAAAATTAGATTTACAGATAGCAGTTGTTGATGTTTTAAGTGAAATTTTTAGAAATCGTTTATAAAATAAGCTGATAAAATTATTTAATATAGTCATATTATGTTACGTATTTTTGTTACAGCTCTATGACAAAATTAATACAAAATCTTCACCACAAATCAGGAATCCACCAAGTGATGCTGTACAGAGAGCCAAAGAGGTAATTTTAGAAATAGTTTAAATGTAATAATTTAATAAATTTAATAATAGTTTAAATTTGTAAATGAAATGTATGCATGCATATATGACTATGTGTTTACACAGCCCCCAGTAGTTGCAGTAAGCTTCTTATTTTTTTCTTTTAGAAGAAGATTAAATCATTTAACAGTTTCGTTGTTTCAGCAAATTTAACATTTTTATGTTTCATTGTTTTTTAAATTATCTGAGTATCTCCCAGATAAAAGACAGGAAACAAATTGAACAGATAAACATATATTCATGTCTAAGGGTCCAAGATTCTTTGCAAAAATTTCTAGACATCCATTTCTTGGGCATCACTGAACCTATAGCCTCCTGTTAACAATAGCCCTTGACTTACAATAGTTCATTTAGTGACCATTCAAAGTTACATTACTTTAAAAAGTGATTCATGACTGTTTTTCACACTTACAACCATTGCAGCATCCCCGTAGTCATATGATCAAAATTTGGATGCTTGGCAACTGATTAATATTTCCTTTCAACAGTAGGAGAGAGACAATAGCCTTGCCCAGTAAACTGCAGGGACTAATCTAGATAGTTGCCAGGAATCAATATCGACTCAGAGGAATAATTTTTAAGAAAGTAGGTGCTTAGAACCAAAGAAATCATTCCCACCTCTGTTACTTATATTGACTTCCTTACTTCTTGTCCCTTCTTGCAAAGTAACAGTAGTCTCACAAGTGAAGAGACAATGGATTACCCAAACGAACAAAAACTTCCCTTCTCCCTATCATTTCCTGAGTTTTTTCTTCTTATACCTAGTTTACCCTTTCAAACTTTATTCCCTTTTGCCTCAGCTATCTACTCATAGATTTTTTTTATTTACCATGTATCACTGCCCTGTACTCGCCTCTCATTTGCAATCATAATTGAATGAAATTACAACTGCCTCAACTTGCATGGCCTATTTTTGGTTTATATATACTGTATTTATTTCTATGGATGTAGCTTTGTTTTTATTAACTTATTAAAGTCTTATTAAAGTCTTCCTTACAGTATAAGTCGATGTAGGAAGTGAAAATAAATCCCTTCTTTCAGACTTTTTTCTTTGTAATTCATGACTCAAAAACATGAGTTTTATTTGTTACCAAAGTTTATTCATATATCTACTCTTATGCTTGACAGGTATTGGAAGAAATTTCATGTTACCCAGAAAATAGTGATGCAAAAGAACTTAAACGTATTTTAACTCAACCTCATTTCATGGTAACTAATTGTTATGATATCATTTTTAATATTTCCCATGGAAAATAGATTCACGAAAGAAATTACTAGTTGAAAGTAATAAGAATTGGGGAAGGGGTAGATAATTACTCAGAAATGTATACAATCTTTCATTGAATTTTAGTGAATGAATTTTGAACGTTCATATACCGTATTTAAATTATTTCCGTCCCAATGTTCACCGAACTGGACTTAAGGAAGCTAATTTCTTTGGCATGGATATCTCCCATTAATTTCAGTGGATGATGGATAGAAATAGCAATATATTAATTATGGGTATAGAAAAATGCATAATAAATATTATAGGTTTTTAAAATTATTTAAAATATTTATACGCATCCTTCAGTTTCCTATAACATAAAGTAATATGTAAATCAAATATGACAATATGTTAAAACAAAAATGCTGTAATTTTATAAACTTTGAAAAATAAGTGTTTAAATCCAAAAAGATAACAATATTGACATTAGCCAGGCCTCTCTTTTACTGGAATTTCCACAGATATTTTAGATGGCTCAACCTGTCATCCAATTATGGATTCTAAATTTTGTTAGAAATAAAATCTTAATTAAGAATATCATAGTGATAGTTTATTTTTTAATGATTTCAGTTTAATGATACAGTCTTATAGTATTCCATTATATAGCAGTGCCAATTCTTACTTAAATTATTTTACCCCACAATTGTTTGTCAATCGTTTCAAGACAGCCTACTCTTACTTAGTGAACTCATCTTCTGATACTTTGTCTAATAAGAGGAACATGACTTCTTGTCTAAGAGTTTTATTCTATTTTATCAATATGCTCAACTTTAATTGTAGAAAATAAAGTTTGCTTAGTCGTCCTTCAGAGACAGGAAATCAGGTCCTTTTTGTATTGATTCTGAATCATGCCAGTTTGTATATGCTAATTTTACTAAATGCATACTTTCCTTTTGAACTGTTACATTTCAGAAGCAAAGAATGCTCTGAAAATAGGCGAGGAATCCATTTGGAAGAAAGGATTCTCTTGCATATTTCTGGAGACCTTTTTAACACACAATGAAACTCAGTAAAATAAAGGACTTTCTGAGAATCAGCAATTTTTTGTTCAAGGACACTTCCTTTCTGTGCATCTTAAGTAGACTAGGATTGCATGAGTAAGTAGTATATGGAAATGCCTGTCACATGTATAATTGAGATATTAGTATACTGTCATTACTGTTAGGAAAACTGAAAGTGATATAACACATGCTGTTTGGGTTGAACTAGGTTGAATAGCTTGATGTTTTAATTTATGCTTTAATTAAGACCAAAAGATAACGAAAAATGAAAATTATATTCATTGTGTAGGCCTTACTCCAAACTCATGATGTAGTGGCACATGAAGTTTACAGTGATGAAGCATTAAGAGTTACTCCACCTCCCACATCTCCGTACTTAAATGGAGATTCTCCAGAAAGCATCAATGGAGACATGGACATGGAGAATGTCACAAGAGTGCGATTGGTTCAATTCCAAAAAAATACAGATGAACCAATGGTAAATAGATAAATTTTGTTATTTAATTTTATAAGCATGTAAGATATAGCCAGTCATATATCAAATTTATGAATTAACTTTTGTAATACTATAAATTTATCTTGGGCAAATGAAAGGAAAATTAACTTAAAAAAATCCTGGAAGTAAAATCTTAATATCCAGAGAAAAGCTTGTACCGAAAAAGCTTTTAATATATATAAATATAGATTATCTTGGAAAAGGTTGATTTAATTAAGTTGAAATAATATACAAATTATATTAATAAATAATTTTATTTTTGAAATTTAAAGGCTTTCTTCTCAGTATCCTGTGTATTATATCCAGATATTGCCTGCTCCTAAGTAGTGTTTCCTCCATCAACAGAATGGAAATTTTTCTCTCCTGCACATTCTCAAAAGAACTGTGATCTTATTCATAGGGCACTTAGTGTTTAAATAACTTCTCTGGAAGCACTTACAGCTTTTTAAAATATATCTGTACCACAGTTCACAATGTTATTTATTAAAGAGCAAAAAGTTAAAGTATTTCTTTGAGGTATGATAAAAGAAGTATGCATATAATTTCTGGGCATATGATTTGTGAGTTGAGATAAAATGTTAATAGATATAGTGGAAATTGAGACAGGTTAGATCTTATTACTGCATGGTCAAATGTTAAAATGCTTAAACTGGATCAATGCTTAAAGAATCTTATTGTGACTATCTAAATTACTTTATCTTTTACTAGGGAATCACTTTAAAAATGAATGAATTGAACCATTGCATTGTAGCAAGAATTATGCATGGAGGAATGATTCACAGGCAAGGTAAACGTAAATATAAAAGTTAATGAAGAATACAAATTTTATATGATACTATCCAAATTTTCAGACATGGAATCTAAATGACATTTGAATATTTAGTATCAAAAATCATAAATTGCCTATAATATAATATTTTGAATCACTGAGTCTTGTTATTACTCAATAACAAAGAAAGAAAATCAAATAATGTTTTCCTATAATGGACAGATTCTCAATATCATCTAAAGTATATAGATCACTAGTTACCTGGCATTTAGAGTATAAATAATTAAATTTCCAAGAAATGTACATATTTATTATGAGAGTACACATGGGAACCTTATATCCTCAAAGCCAGTGTTTTTTAACACCAGAATAGTGACCAAGACTGAATGAAGATATGAACGCTGAGTAGACCTGCTAAAATAAATAAAATATTATGTGACAAGATTTTGCCTTAAAAATTTCTGTTTGGTTTGTTGAGATCATTTATGGTATGTATTTTAATTGAGGCCTCTTCCATTGCTGAACAACTTTTACATTAAGCATTAATTTTGAAAGTTCAACTACTAAAATTTACTTCCTTGTAATTTAAATTCATTTGCTTCTGAACTTATTTTCTGGGCAACTTGGAACAATTCTGCTCGAGTATTTGATTTGACAATTTTAAAAAGATAAAATATTAGAGAGGAAATAATGCTATCCATGATTAAAGTGTATTTGTTAAAATCCATTCTTTAGTTAGCGATTTGATGATTACCAAGTTTGCAGACAAGATGGAAAATGAAATTTTGAACATCAACTGTTATACATTTGGAATATCCTCAATTAAATTTAGATATGCTTTTGAGGAACATATATTACCAGAAGCAATCAAGAGATTACTGGTGCATCAATTTCCACAATTGAAAAAGCTCAGTGGCTATCTGTATAATAATTATTTGCAGCATTAACAGACAAAATATTATTATTATTATTATTTACACAAAACATGTGAAATCACAGATGCCAGTTCTTTAACTGATGTTGGCCTTCATGTACATTAAATTCTTCCAAAAAATCTAGGATGTCATAATGTATCAGCCTAGTATACGTGCAGATCCAAGCATTGCAACATGTTGTGATTGATAGATAAATATTTTGTCAATGTGTAGATTTTCTAAGTACTAGGTGGGCATCAAGATTTTTGGGGGTATGGTACTCAGTGTGCTGACAACCACTGGGACCACCATGGCCACTTTCTGCCCTAATCTCTCAAATTTCTATTTCTATTCTATTCTATAAAGGTTTTCAAAGTCATAACTAAAAACAAGAAGAAATTTGTTTACTTTATACTATAAAAGCTATGTTATTGCACATTGAACTGAAAATTGTTTTCATATATATACCTTTTTCCACTATCCTACATAGTTAACATTTTAATCAAAAATTTACAAATATAGTGGTTAAAATATTTTGTTATCAAAAGATAACAAGTGAACTACTGCATCAGTAAGAGCATTATCTCCAATAGAGAAATTGTCAAAAGCCTTGCAATTCCATAATCAAAGCAGATTTTTATGTAGTTAGTAACAGGTATCATCATAATAATATATATCGTTTCATTTTACAAAAAATTCCATTGACAAATATTCCTTCGTACACAAAGCATATATTCTTTAATTTACAAGATCCAGAAAAATCTCAAAATACAGATAGTCCTTGACTTACAACAGTTCATTTAGTGACCATTCAAAGTTACAACAGCACTGACATGTCAAATACAAGGCCTGTGGGCCAGATCCAGCCCACAGTGGGCCCATAACTGGCCTGCAGGGGCCTCCCCGGAAATGGCAGGAGACACCCCCATTACTCCAACCTGGACCAGCCTAGCCGGGTATCCCCCAACACACACACAAGAGGCAATGAGCACACAAGGGCCAACAGTATCCAGCAGCAGCCACAGGCCACTGTCCCCTTGACCAGTGCACTCTGGGGTTGCATAGCCTGCACAGCACAGGTGATTTTGAGTGCTGCAACCGCCAGGCTGGCCCTCCAAACAAGAGGCAGTGCCGCAGGGGGTAGGCACGGGATCCGGCCCACCAGACATACTGCTTGGCTACCTGTTCTGTCGTGGGTGCAGGCAAGCAAAGACAGACAGAATGGAGTGGACAGGTGACCGCGTGGTGCACCAGGTGGGCGGGATCGTGTGCCTCCCCATGACTCTCTCTCTGCCTGCTGCTTGGAGAGCTGGCACAGTGGTCACAGCATTCAGACTCACCTCTGCTGCGTAGTCTGCACAGCTCCAGAGGGTGCGGCCCAAGGGGCCAGCAGGCTGCGGGCTGCTGCCAGACATTGTCGGCCCCCGAGCACTCACCGCTTCCTGTGCGTGCACTAGGGGGGCACCCACCCGCTACCTATCTCTGGGCAGCCCACGGGGCAGATATGGGGCCCACAAGTCCATGGGCCCTGTGTTTCATATATCTGTTGTACATTAAAAAATAAGACATCACCTGAAAATAAGCCCTAATGCAGGTTTTGGACCAAAAATTAATCTAAGACCTAGTCTTATTTTCGGGGAAACACAGTAGTATATTTTCCTACTTTGCTAATTATATTTTCAGTGCTTTACTTTTTTTTAACCATATAATTTCAGTTCTTACTTTTAAAAAGAGGAAATAAATGTCTTAACAAGTTCTTAAAACATTTTTATAATATGAGTAGGTATTCCTGAGTTAATATTTTTTCAGAAAGAAACCACCCATCTTTCTTCCTGTCCCTTCATTTATTAACAATATCTTATGGAGTCTGTATTTTCTTTTTTGCTTTATTCTCAGTATATCTTGTTCATGATTCACCAATTCTTTGCAATTATTGCCTAGATAAGAACTTATTTGCCTTTTTCCTAATTCCTATTTAATATCAGTTATTACCAACAAAGCTGTTGGTCAAAGTTTAAAAGAAATAAAAACCTGTTAAATGTTACCACTTTTTTCTGATAGTATCTGATAGTAAGATATTATACACACATACACACACACACACACAATGGCTGAAACTGTCTTTGTAATATAGATATGAGCCATTTTGGAAAATAGTATTTGTCTACAAAAGATGATAAAATTGTAAATAAATAAGAGACCTCTGTTCTCATCTCTATTTGCTGTACTTGCTTTTCCATGTTAAAAGAGTGGATTCTATTTATTAGAGCTACAATTTTATTCAAAATTAAGTGGGAATATTCCTATTGAATGTAGCAGAAAATGTTCGTGGTTATGTAGCTAGACTTCTAGTAATTTTTTAAGTTTGCAAGATTTTTTATCCACATAGTTTGAGGAAATTCTAATTGCTTACAATATCTAATTATGCATATAAAATGATATGTGGAAAATAATAGAATAGTTTGTGATTCAGTGCATTTTGTTTTACTGTTTCTGTAGGTACACTTCATGTAGGTGATGAAATTCGGGAAATAAATGGAATTAGTGTGGCAAATCAAACAGTGGAACAACTTCAAAAAATGCTTGTAAGCATGTAAAAAGTTTTTATCTGATTCATTTTACTTTTAATATGAGTTAATATGAAACTCTAAAACACTGCAATTCAAAATATTACTCAAAATACAGTTATGCATACCCTCTAGCATTAATTAATAATACTTGGAACTTGTTTTTTCAGATTGCTTGTTTTTCTGCAAACCTTTCTCAAATAGAAAGAAACTCTGTAGCTTTGGTCCTCTTCTTCATTTTTGTTTTATTTAACTTTTCAAATAGAACAAGATGGACAATGTATGAATATGGTTTGTATTATACTCGTGCTGAATTAAAAATTAAGAACTGTGATATAATTTTTTTAAAAGACTCCATTTTATACCTCTGAAAAATAATATCAGCAACATAAACCTAATTTTGGCAATATTTATATTAAAAGATAAACCAGTGTTCTAGAGATGTGTGACTCATTAGCAGTAATATGTCACTAGTTCATAGTTTTATCTCATAGTCCCATTTTGGCTGATATATTTATCAAATTTATATTACCACTCTTCTAACCAAAATCACACAAGTGGGTAAAAGCCACAAATATAAAAATGACATATATTAAAAAATGTAAAAAACCTACATTAAGAAATAAATAACATAAAAACAAATATATAAACTGCTAGGCAAAGAGAATATAAAAGTGGCACCTCATCAGTGGAGCCATCTAAGATACCTCCAGTTCCCTGGAACTAATGACATAGCCTGGTCTTGAGGGCCTTCCATAATATCAAATGGGTGGAGCTAATAAAACATTTTTTGGGGGGGAGGAATGTTCCATAAAGTGAGCATCATGGCAAAGAAATCTTGTTTCTTGAGACCTGCCAGAACTTTAACTTTTGGTAACCACAGCATGACTTCTCCTGATTTATTGGGGCAGGCTAAAATAACTGGGAAGAGGCTGTCCCTCAAATAGCCCAGTCCCATTCCATGAAAGGCTTTAAAGATTAAAACTAGCATCTTAAATTAGTAAAGTGACAACCAATACAGCTCACAGAGCAGAGGTATAAAATACTGCTCTATTGCACAAAATTGCCCACATTCCTGCATTCTATACCAGTTGAAGCTTCTGGATACTCTTCAAGGGCAGCCCCATGTTCTCACCAGCAGGAATTTTGTAAAAACAGCCTTAATATTTCCTTTGAACCTGTTACTGTGTTTGGCTGTGAACAATATGCCCAGATTTTCCCTGAAAGGAGTTAATGTTTAGCACGTTTTTATTCCATCAGCAGCCAGAAAATTATAAAAGCAATACTAACAGAATATTAGTCCAAATTAAACTAAATTTAAGCCTACGTAAAGAAATATTTTGGAAAATTGATGTTTCTTTTCTCTTTTTTGTTCCAACTCTTCTTCCTTTGTATATATCCTGTCTCTTGTTTTAAATTGGCATGAACTCCAAATAATATTTTGAAAAAAGGAATAAAAATAATAACTGATTGTGTTAGTAGAGTCAGTCAGTGTTCATTAACAAAGGAGTAAAGTTTGACAAATAACACTTTACTATTTAATTAGATTACAATTGTAGAATCTGGGTTAATATTTGTTGAGTTTATTTTTTACATAGATTAGTCTTTACCTTTTGTTGAATACAGGAGTTCTATTTTCATTTATAACATTCTAGAACATACTCCACATTGTAATACCAAGGAACAGGAAGGAAAGTATTTTCAGAGCATTCTATTAAGTAGCTTTCATTTTTATCTGATTTAATTATCCTTGTTATGTTTTTCCTACATGCATTTATTTGTTCATAAAATAATCACATTCTTAGAATCCAGATTGATTTGACTTTTTTTTTCACAAAAGGAATAATGGATTGCTTTCAGCAAGTTTTGTTGAGTTGCTATGTGAATTAAAAAAATAGTCTTCAGTAGTTTTGTTTCTGTTTAAAAAAGGTAATTTGTTGGAAATTTTAGTTTACTATTTATGCCATTTCATTATCAAGCTTGTACTTTAGTTTAGCAAATGACTTATATATAGTATGTTTAATAAGTGTCATGTAGTTAACAACTATATTTTAAAATGCTAAATGTATTTGTTGCTGAAGTATCTACAAATTAGAGGGAACATGATAAAACTTCAAAGACAAAAAACCAACTTGCTACTACCAAATATATGTTCTAAAATACTAATCTTATTATACAAGTACTTCAGCTTGGTTCATACAGAACTTTTTTTTTTTTAGTGTATTTAGATCCCTGTTGATATCTGGTGACTAAATTTTGGAAATAAACCTATAGGCTTTATGATTTTGTTAAAATATTAGATGGTTTTGAGTGCTCCACTTAATTATTTTGAGTTTTGCGAAACAACAAATACTTTACTTTCACCAGAGAGAAATGAGAGGCAGCATCACCTTCAAGATTGTGCCAAGTTATCGCACTCAATCTTCTTCATGTGAGGTAATAAATTACTTGCTTTCTTCTCAGTCTTAAAATTAACTACCTGCTTATGGCTGAATGTTATTGCTTTCTGGGAAATTGTTTCTGCCTGTGCTGTTAGATCACACACACCAATTTTACAACAAAGATAACGGAACAAAGGAGTAGCTCTATCCACCTATTGTATTGTTGCTATTTCATATTCATTACATCAATTCATTAAATATTGCATAATAGCCAAAAATGTAAAAATGTCTAAAATAAAGCAAAACCAATAATGATAATTAGGTTGTGGAATAAGGCTTGAATAATATTTCAGGAGCTAACAAACACATCTAGGCAAAATAATTGAAATTATTATTTTTTAAATCTGTACAATGAATTCTGATGGTTTCATAAAAAGATCTGGTGAAAAGGTTCAATGATATGACAGAATTTTTAATATTAAAAATAAACTCAGATTGATTAAAGAGCCAGAGCTAAAATTGAGGAATAATAATAAAAAGAAAAATCAAAATAATGAATGCATCCAGTGAAAAAGCTGAATATTTAATGTGATCATATACTGCAAATGCTAATTAGTACTATTAAAATTATTTTGATCAACAAACCAGATTCTCCATGAAAAAGCAAAAGAAAAATAGAAGAAATGCAAATAATTTTCTTGGAAATGTGATGTTACACTCTAGTCATAACCCATTTAAAGTACCAACTTTGTTTAAAGGCATGTATATATATTCATTTTAATTAAATAATTTGCATATTTTCTGGGATATTGGAAATAATAAGGAATATTGGAAATAATAAGGAATAATAAGGCTTGTCCTCAGAAAGAGGTCCATTTTAGTGGGGCTTATTTTCAGCATATAGATTCCATCATGAAAACACATATATATAGGATATACCAAAAGTTAGATCCCCATAATTTATTATATAAATTATATTAAATGTTCCAATTGGTTGCCATTTTCTTCTGAACACTTCCTTGCTTATTTGATGACCTTTGAGTATTCCTAAATAAAACAATATTTTTCTGGAAAAATATTAATAAAATGTACTGTGATTAACTTATGGACCCTGATTTATGTATATGTGTATATGTGTGCATATGTACACACACAGGTACACATATACAAATATAGTGATATTAGAAAAAGAACTAATAAGAGCTCTACCCAGTATAAGTATAGATATCTACTGGCTTGGAAAAACATACCTTTTTGCATGAATAATAACAGTCAAAGTGCCATATAAATGTAAAGTATATTGTGTCTGTAGGCTAAAGGAAATATTATAATCCATCAAAGATCCAATATTTTAGGAGGGAGAAAGCTACACAGACAAAATATTTATATATTGGAATACAGCTCCCATCGTCTCATTTGACCAATCAAATTTATATGCTGTATGGTACTGGCAGGCCACAGCCGATTCGGAACAGGGCTGCGGAAGCAGCAGACAAACCACTCCTCGTGTACGAGCAGCAGGCGAGCAGTGAGCATGCATGCACAGCTCCATTTGCGCAAGCAGCATGCCCACGACTTGTGCAGATGGAAGTGCGCACACTTGCACTCTGCATGCACGGAACCATCCCCTCCCCCCCCCGTCAGTCCGCAAAGCCAGAAAAGTTGGGAACTGCTGCTGTATGGGACTGATGGAAAATGTGCCCAGGACACCTAGAAGGAGCCAGTTTTGGAAAAATTGAATTAGAGGAATCTACTAGGCAAAATTTTCTTAGGTTGCAGGAAGAACCTAACAGCAGAAACCAGAAGGTAGAAAGGATAGTTTTGAGAAATACAGTAAAAGTTAGTCTTGCTGACATGGTGGTAGTTACTTGTCTCCTGCCAGTTTTGCCTAATAATTATATTTCATCCAAAGATAAATTAGTTAAAAATGCATCAAATCCATCAGTAACATTCCTTAATTGGGTGTCCAACAAATACGTTAGAAATATAACTGCCATTATTCTTAACTAGAAATTTATGGAAGATATAGCCAACACATTTGAAGATAGATTAAGAAGTTGACCTGAGCTATTGGTGCTAATTTTTTGTCACACTTAAAACTTTCTAGAATATTTGCAATCTTGGGACATTCCATAACGTGTTGCTGTTTATTTTAGTGTAGGAAATAGGCATTCACTGCACAGGTAATCCTTGACTTATGAATTGAATTGAGCCCAGATTTGCAGTTGTAAGTCAGTGCAGTAAGTTGCCATGCATTCAAAATGCACTAATGTGACCGTGAGGGATGCAACCATCATAACTTTAAAAATAGATCATGGGAGGTCCATCATAATTTTGAATGGTCAATAAACATCTGGTCATTAGTTGAGGACTACCTTATCTTAAGTTAATTAATTCTATTTTAATAAATTAATCCTATTAATTCTATTTAATGGAGCAAAATTTTGTGATATAGAAATAAAGCCTTACAAAATCCAATAGCCAGAGATTACTTTTAAAGAAAACATCATAATATGAAATATTAGAAACAGCTCATAATCTAGTTATGTGCAACTTCAAAAGCTGCCGTAATAAATTGAGGACATCCCTCTACAGCAAATTTAAACAAATTTAAATGCAGTTATATTTTAAATATACGCAAATTACCTTTTAAAGCTCTATAATTTCATAACATCTAAATATTAATGCTTCACTGTAAACTATTTGAAATACCTTTTCCAGGAGGAAAATTAAACCAAAAACTTCTGTTGCCTCATTACCAATATAAAAGTTTTCAGTTGTTTATTTTTGAGTGGTTTATGGTTAAGAATTTATAGATGTATAAATTATGCTTTGTTAGATTTGTTATGCTTACATTCATTTTAAGAAAGGATGTTTTTCCTACTTAGCAAACACACTGGGAGAAATACTATGTAAGTGATGCCATACTTTAAAATATTGCATGCTTAAATATATTAACTGTTCCTCTGTATAGATTCTGATAAAATACGGTATAGATTCATAATGCACAGATATACACATTTATATACTTTTCTTTTTTAAAAAAACTAGAATTCTATCATTTTGAAAGTTGCCTTGCCAGAAGTACACTTAAGTTATTATGCAATATAGCTGCAAATGCAAAAATGCCTACACAAATATCCCTATCCATTAAAAAGTCATTTTAATGGATAGGGATAGATTAATCTGGTAAAGAAGCTAATCATGGCATTTTTTAATTTATTTTAAAATTGAAGGTATGAAGATGAGTATCTTGATATGTGTTTAACTGGATAGTAAGAGTAAATAGTCACAAATAATTATGCAACAGGGTTTTAAATTAGCTAACAATGTTCCATGCGCCTCGGCATATAGTCATGGTGGCCAAATGACCATAGAAATGTCTTCGGACAGTGCTGGCTCCCTTGGCTAAGAAATGGAGATTAGCATCATCTCCTAGAGTCTGAAATGACTGGACAGAGCAAACTTTCACCTTTATCTATTAAAAAAAAGTTATTTTGCTATCCCTACTCACAGTGCAGACTATATTAAATAGGTACCTGTATAACTTTCTCAAACACAGGACTCACAGTAATGACAGAAGCAATGAACTTGCAATTTATTTTTTATATTTACACTTTTTAAAAAAAAAAATAAAAGAGCTGTTTGAATGCTGCAAAAATACATCATTCTATTACACACGCTGCCATTTTGGAGTCATATTGTAGATGTTCTTGACAATATTTGTTGTAGCACTAAAAAAAATGGCTGTATACAGAAAGATATAGAAGGATAATTCTTAACTCCAGCAATTGAATCTTCCAAAATTATTAAAATATTTATTAACTCCAAAAGCTTTAATTCAGAGCATGGGCAGTAAATTGAAGCTGTAAATAAAATCCTTGGACTAAGCATTTTGGAAGTGGATTTAGCACAATTTTGTTTATCTGAGTGCATTGAGATGATAAAATATGAATAATATTATAGTATCAAATAAAAATACTATACTATACTACTATACTATTCATAGCAAGTTTTAGATTTGGACAATTCATTTTTTATAAAAAGAATATTGTTTAAGATTAATGTTAATCTCATGTGTTTCTCAGACATCCTCATGCTCAGAGTCTATTTATTGCCAGGAATTTTGAAAAATGGTAATTTATACTAATTTACATTCAGTAGTATAAATGGAGATTTTAAATTAAAATGTAGGAATATAACCAGAGTTGCCCATATATTTTCCTATGATTTTATTTGATTATTTTATTAACATATTTTCACTTAGATTACTCTTAACAATCTTAGATTTCTAACAAATGTAGGGAAATAAAATTCTTTTTTTGAAGTGCTATTTACTTATACTGTACTGTAATTAGCTACTGTTAATTTCAAAACTTAATTATGACGTGTGTGTGTTTGTGTGTGTGTGTGTGTAGAGAAATCTTCACTTTCCTTAACATTTTGAACAAGTCTTTCCTGAGGCTACTATATGAACTGTCAACATTTCATAAATCATAGCCCATTTTCTTTATGTATATTGTAATTTAATCTTTGATACATTATAAAATGTGATTATCTAGCCTTTGTTCATTTCTGATTAATTTTCTTTGGTTACTAAACTAAAGATGCATAAAATGTAAATGTTACTTCATATACACACTCATACAAACACACACACACACACAGAGAGAGAGAGCTTAATTAGAGTATTTTTTCACTTTGTGATTCAGCTCTAGTTTGCCACTTGGAAAACAACCATACATTTCCTCTTACTTCTTACTCTGAGTATTTCAATTTCATCTCCCCTAGTTTTTGTAACCCATAATTTGCTCTTTCGTATCAATTAAGGAACAATGATTTGGAGTATGGGGTCATTGCATTTGAGTAGCAATATTTTTAATAACAGGCTTCCATATACAGGTAGTCCTTGACCTAGGACCACTATTGGGACCAAGATTTCCATCACTAAGCGATGTAGTTATAAAGTAAAATGCCACATGACCATATTGCTTATGCTTAGTGACCAGAATCCCAGCAATCCCAGTTGCCATGATTAACCTAGAAATATGGGTCATTGACTGAGTATCCACCCCAAGCCAAGCCATTCCAGGCTTGATCCCTTCCAGCTCCACACCTCAGTAAGGTAAGGAAGTGTCTCAAACTCCCACCACCACCTATATTACTCCCACCACCACCAGCTCTGCCCCTTGGCTGCTCTGCACCCTTGCCTTGCAGGATGGCAAGCAGTCCGAGAACTGCACAACTCTGTGGCTGCTTGCCACATCTTGGGAAGCCACAGCTTCTCTAGCCCAGTCCCAGCTGCACTCAATCTCACTATCCTGCACTCCAAGAACCATGCCATCTTGTGCTTTGTCACCCCAGTTGATGTTCGTTATTTTCTTACTCTCACTGTTGACGAAGTATACCCGGTCTAGTCAGGCTGGACCTCAGCTAAAAAAAAGAAGGCAACACCACCACTACAGCCATAATGCACCAGAAAGCCCTTTGCACCATCCTCCTGGGCCGGCTTAGGCTGCTTTCAACTGTGGGGGAAACAAATTAGCCAAAAGCAACACTAGAGTGCAGCATACCAGAAAACTGCTCTGCATCCACTCCTGGGCTGGGCTGGGCTGGGCTGGGCTGGGCTTCAGTTGCAAAATAAAGCCAAAGCCTGGCCCAGCCCAACAATGCAATGCAAAGGGACTTTCTAGTGTACCATGGCTCTGGAGCTGCTGTTGGGAGTCAGCGATGGAGCAAGACAATGGCAAAAGTCAGCTAGGGTAGCAGAGTGCAGGGAGGTGAGGGCCAGAAGAGCAGAGATCAGGGAGATAGGCTGGTAGTGGGAGATGAAATACCTTTGCAGTTTTAGTGTGGGCAGCCTGCCAAACGCTTGAATTTTGAACACATGACTGCAGGGGCTCTGCAATGACTGTAATTTTGGACATGGGTTGTAGGTTCCTTGGTTTAGTGCCATCATAACTTGGAATGGTGACTGAATGGACATAAGTCAAGGGTTACTGATTGAATCATAACTCATTAAAATATATTGCTAAAGCTTTTGAATTATTTTAAGACTGAAAATAATGTGTATGTTTCCTAAACAATTTTTATTAACAAATACAAAAAATGAAGAAAAAGGAGAAAAACACAAAATTATAAAAGGAGAAAAACAAAAATATACAAAATATACATTTGCAGACATACATACATTATAACAATAAATTGAAGCCATGTTGATTACAGTCATCCATGATTGGTCTGTATTAATTAATTATGCAGAATGCTAAATACTTAGGAGTCTTATATATATAGTATATTCCCGATGCTTATATATATAGTATATTCCCGATGCTGAACAATAAGTCTCTGGATTATGAATTCATTTTCTATGTGCCAAAAGTCAGCTCCCAACTGATTGAAATAAATCTCAAGTTCAGCCAATATCTGTAATTGCTTCTCACCTAAATGAAATATATTTAAATAAAGCATTAGTTTCATTGTATCTTCTACAATACAAATGGAATATGGTCATTAATGAAATACTTGTTGAAAAGGATGTGATCTAAAAACCTTTTGAACGGGGTGCGGATTTTAACCTTTTGTATTGTTTAAATTACATTAAATTAAATGTTCAAGGAGAAAAAAGGCAAAAAAAGATACATATAGAAAAAAAATTGAGAAAAAAACAAGATGGATGGATGGCAGGTAGGCATTCTGGTTGCCTTAACACCCTGTTTTTAGCATGACTACTTGAAATAATTTATCTTATTTTCTCATGCTGAGGAGAACGTGCCTAGAAGAAAAAAGTACTTTCTTCTTCTAGGCCAGTGGTGGCGAACCTATGGCACAGGTGTCAGAAGCGGCACTCAGAGCCCTCTCTGTGGGCACGCATGCCATCACCCAGTCCTAGGCCTTCAGCTGGGTTTTATAAAACCTTTTCCCTTTAGGCCTCCGCCACCGTGTGCAAAAAAAAAAAAAAAAGGTTCAATCAATCAGTCAATTTCAATTTCTCACGGGAAAAAAAAGATCTTACAAAGTTGGAATTGATTGATTGAACTTTTTAGTCCCACCCAATCTGCTATTACCACCACAGCCACGTCCACCCAATGGGCCACACCCACCTGGCACCCGATGCATAAGTGGGTTTTGCATTGCAGTTTGGACACTCGGATTCTAAAAGGTTCGCCATCACTGTTCTAGGCACAGTGTTCAGCCAGCTTTTCTCACAGGTTTACATGCAATATGTGACAAAATAGAAATATTATTAATAAAACAGTTGACTTATTTGTTGCAAAATATTTGAAATGAATTGCATGAAATTGTTTACTGTTACTTAGAAATAGAAAACAATTTCATGCAATTTATGTATATTGTTTTTCAAAATGTACAGAATTCTACCTTGGAAACCAGATTGTCAGTATATTTCAGTCACAAACATCTAATGTTGCCAGTTGGTTTAGATGAAAAAGCTAAGAGCAAATACAAATGCTTAAAAGTCAATAATGAAAAGTTACATTAAAAAGAACATGCTCCTTTTAACAAGTTAGAGAAGCTTAATTTAAAAATGTAAAAATAATTTTAAACAAGACTTAATATTCCATATTTTATGGTATTGGGTTAAGGATATGTATCATTTGGTTAATACAGATATGTATAGATTAAAAACAAATGTTTCTGAAATCACATCCCAACCACTGGGCTATTTAAGTAGTAGAAGGAAAGAAAGATGATTCAAACCTAGAAGCTTTAGGTCAGGTAGTACAAACTATCCAGAATCAATGGCTATGTTAGGCTTTTTAATTATGAACCATTTTTAAATTGCTACATGAACATCATTATTATATACCACATCTAATTATTTTGTGTAAGAATCCCTGTGTGATTTTAAAGAATACATTTAACAAAATATTCAATATGGCAATCCACTTAACATATGTGAGGCACCCAACTCTTGTAAAATTTTCATGTAGTTATTAAAAGTATGCTTCACACTTAACTTTAATTTGATAATAAAGCAGAATGAAGCAATTCAAAATAGAATTATCATTTGCATTCTTTTTTTCACAGTATTGAAGTTATATAACCATACAGTAAGAACGAATGGCATATTCCATAAACAAGGAGTTTTCATTTATATATAGTAATCAAGTTTCTGGTTCTTTAAAAGAACCTCTCCTGCCAGGAGGAGATTTTGCAGAAAATCAAATCCCACTTTGAATCTTTAAAGTTAAATACCAGCAGATAATTTGCAACCATTACAGATCTGGCAGTACAATACAGATCTCCCCTATTTTTTTTTTTTTATTTGTGATATTTGAAAGTTGCTGAAGTACATACAATGGAGGAATGGTTGGTTAAGATAGTAGAATTTGCAGAGATGTCAAAATTGACTTGTTTAATTGGGGAAAAGACAATAACTACCTTTGTTAGTGAGTGGAAACCTTTACTGACTTTTTGCTGAAAACAAACAAATAAAAGGATGATTTATGAGTTTGATGATTAAAAAGACTAGAATGTGAAAAAAGGGAGACGTATATTTAAAGAGAGGATAAAAAAGATGCATTTACAATTGCTTTAAAGTAAATCAGAAGTTGTTCCTTTGTATCTTTCTTACTTTTACTTTCTTTCCCTTTTTTCTTATTTATCACTTTCATTTGTTTTCCCTTTTTTAATCCTGCCTTTATTATTTTCAAATAATGCAAGATAGCAAAGATACATAATATTTATTATCTTCTATTTTTCCCTACAACAATAACCCTGAGAAGTGTCTTAGGCTGATTGGCTTTCATGCCTAAGGTGGGAATAGAGTTCACAGTCTTCTGGTTTCCAAGCCAACATCTTAACCACTGCACCAAACTGGCTCTCAAATTTGCATTGCTTTTGTTCTGTAAAAAAAAAAAAACTATAATAAAAGTTACTTTGTGATATTTAATTATTGTTTTGATTTCTTTCAAATGTTTGGGAATAGTTATACCAATGAAATTTTCTTCATTTGTAATTGAAGAATTACAATTAATTTGAGGACTACCTGTATATCTTTTCAAAGCTGAATAATTGACATAATTAGATGATTAAAAATACATTGAGCTTTTGTGGAGAAATAAATATTGTAAACTGATTATTTCAAAAATGATATATAGGTATTCCTATGTTAATAACTTTGTATTGTTTCAAGCAGATAAGGTACTGATTTTTTTTTAATAAGAAAGACAAGCCCCTAGATTTTCTTTAGCTAAATTACAGCTGTCATATGATGCTGAGGCGAGCATTATCTTCCCAAGTTCAGTTTAATTTTTGGATATATATTTTTATATATCATTTATATATCAATCTAAGGATCAAGTAAAAAAATAATTATGGGCACGGTTACTATGTGGCCCATTTGATATGATTTGGCTCTATTTTTAGCCCTAACTCCATTGCATTTTCTTGCATTGAAGATTGCAAGATATATTTGAAGATGCCAGAATGGAAGTGTAATTTCAATACTTATTCACATGATAAATTTACCCTCTTGCATAGTCCTATATTTGGGGGGGAATGAAATCATGAGAAATTAGAGATACTGATACTGTGGATTACTTTATTGCCAATAAATTTGAAATATCTAAAATTGTGAAATAGCAGTATATTTAGTTAAGAGTTTTCTTGATTTCACACTTTGGCCCAGATGAAGTGACTAAAACTCCTGAGTAAATAATCAGTATTGGAATTAACTTGAAGAGTTCAAAGTCTACAATATTTTTATAAAAAATTGAAGAGTACCACTAAGCTGGATATTAATTATTTGCAGGAACTCTGAATTAAAAAGTCAGAATAACCCACATTAACAAATCAACTGCCATGGATCATTAATAATTATCATTTTTAATTTTAATAATAATTAATTGAGCCTTAATAATAAAAGAACATTGATGTGTTTCTTACAATCTTAAAGTAAGACTGAACCAATATGATTCAGCAAAAGATTCTAATTTATATTTAGCTAAACATAATCCCTTATGTAATAATTATGTTGGAAAATAAACAGATGAGACAGTACTTGAATTATTTAGAACTGTGCTACTCATGGCTTTTTTTGTCATAGAACAACATTCCAGCACCTTTTTTTGAATGGAAGAACCAGTTCCTTCTAAACTGCCAGCAGAAGTACTGATATGGCTGCAGAGCAATTTTGTGCCCCCTCCCAGCAGCCCGATCCGGGCTCCGGAGGCCTTTTCCAAGCCTCTGGAACCCAGATTGGGCTGCTGGGAGGGCGCAAAATCGCTCTGCAGCCATGGATCTGGGCTCCGGTGGTGGCTTGCAAAAGGCCTCCGTAGCCTGGATCAGGCTGCTGGGAAGCCGTAAAATTGCTCCCTAATGCGGTTTGTTCTCTCCCCCACCCCCCACTCCATAAAGCGCTTTCGACTGGAGCCGGAGCTGTCCGTGAGTTCTGGCACCTTTTTTTGTTTTTGTTTTTTTACAAAAACACTGGTGCTACTATTACTCAGTTTTTATTTAATATCTTTAAGTTTGTTAATGTAGTGTTAAAAAGCGCAATATTGTTTAAAGATGTGAATATCTGTTTTAAATCGATAACCAAGAATATGGTATCTAACATTACAAAATGAATATTAGATTTATCCAGTTTGGACAGTAATAAAATAGAAGTTAGTTCAATGGTAGAAATACAGAGTAACTCCAGATTTTCAATTAGAGATCACCAGTATTGTCTTTACTTTCTATATATGAGCTGTCTGTCAAATTCATTAAGAAAGATCGATAAATATGCTCAACGTTTACTAATGTGTTTAAAAATTAGATCGGTTAATTTTATTTCTGTAATACAAAAAGTTCTTGCTTCTTTTTTAGGTTCTTTCCTCATTTTTCTTCATCTTTTTTTTCCCTTTGGTATATTAAAGGAATAAAAATAAACTTTAAAAATAGTACTAATTTCAAATATTGCAGTGCAAAATCATTGGTTCTATATTCTTTATTTTTCATAATGCAAATTATTTGCTGCAAAAGTTTTCAAGTGAAGCTAATAGTTTTTTACAAAGGTGTGTGTGTGTGTGTGTGTGTTTGTATATATAGCAAAGCCGTATGAAGTATTTTAAAAATATCATTAGTACTATTTTTTAAAAAAGCAATATATACTACTTTTCTTAACGGTTTCCACTACCAAATCTTGAAATGCTAATTTAGTTCACATGTTATTTCTGGAAGAGATGCATCCTAGGAATAAATAAAATTGTCTTTAACTGAATCATCTATAGTTTATAATGTTTGAATGTGGTTTAACAAACCTGATTTTGCATTATATGATAATTAGGCCAGTGAGATCTTTCTACTTTTCATCATTACATAAGCAATCATTTCAGAAGAGATGATCATCAAAATAAAATGTTTCTGCTACTAAGAGAAAATAGAGTTAATATATAAGCAGTTTCACATTATGTAAAAATAGACTTCTTAGGAGTATCGTGTAAGTTAAAATATGATTATTTCTTAAGAAGAATAAGGCAAAATTGGTTTTAAACCTATCAATATTTGTTTATTAAAATATATCTATGTAGTGTTGTGTGATAATGAACCTTGTGTCTTATTTCAGAGAGATTCCCCCTCTACATCCAGACAGTCCCCAGCTAATGGCCATAGCAGCATTAACAATTCTATTTCGGTAAGACCTCCAATTCCAGACAGAGAGCATTACAGTTTTGTTGGTGCTTATGTACCATTCTTTTTATATGTTCAATGGAAAATTGTGTTCTATTAATAAAATGAAGAATACGTAGAATTCCCTATTTTCTCTCATTCAAGTGTTTATTAAGTAATATAATTTTCTAATCAAAATCCCTTTAATGAGTTGCACTCAACCATCAGGTAAATATTTTAATCATCTTGAAATATGCTTCTTGTTATTCTCATCCTGATTAGCTCAAAGTCAAGCAAAAAAGAATAATTTCCATTTTGAACTTTAAAGTTGTGTTTTTAAGCAAAACATTAGTAAAGCAGTTATTTGAGGCTTTCAAGACCTAGGCATCATCATCATTATTACTATTGTTATTATTAAAGTTCTCTAGATTACCACATTGGTTTCCGCTATCTGAGTTAACGAATTGGTGTGTCCCCTGCTATTGTGGTACGTGCACATATTTCGTGAAATATGAGCCTTGCCTGGATATGAAAAGCAAAATAAACTGTCTTTAAACTGCTTTTATAAGCTGAGCTATTAACATCACATCTTTAACACAAAGTGCTGTTCTTTTTACCATATGTTCAGACAAAAAGATATTAGTAAACATTGTTGATATTGCTGCTGTTTACTTTTTCTCTTTCTGTGAACACACATGGTAAAATGTTAAAACGTATCTGTAGAAAAATGTTGCCTCAAAAATATTCTTTGTATTTCTGCTGTCAACACTTAACTAAACATTTTAAAAACTTCTGGAGAAGTTCAAAAACTGTTAAAAATATTGCAATTACATTTTGATTAAAAAAACTGGTTAAATAATAAAATGGATACAATTAGAAATATATTTTAGTCATGTAAACTTATGTAATACCATTAAAACAAGATTTTAAATAAATATATTAACTTCAATTTGTAATTACAATGTTGATCGATATGAATGCCTCATCAGTTTGAATATTAAAATTACTTTCCTTTGTTTAAGGAATTTTTGTGTTGAAGATGATGAATTACTTATTAAAAGCACACTTTCTGTCTGCTTAAATTTTATCTGCTTCGGCTTGCTGCTAAACAGTCTGGGTTTGACATTTTCTGAACATGATTATTGTTAATACTTTTAAAATAGCTTCGACATTAAAACTGTTACCTATTTTCAAAGTAAGATGAAAAATTACTATTCCTGGGTTGACTTTATTCTGCAGGACTTGCCATCAACAACACAACCAAAAGGACGACAGGTGAATAGCTATTCTCTATGAAGGCTTTCATAACTTAGTTGCTTCAATCCATTTTCTCCTTACCGTCTCAATTTTTTTATCCCATAATGTGCTGATTTAGATTTTACAGCTTTTATCATTTTGTGTTTTATTCATATGGCTGATCAATAAACACACTATTTATCATGTGGTACTCCTATGATACTAATTTGTTTTTTTTCTTACTAACAGCTTCTCCATTCACTTTCATGTTGTCTATCAGCATCAGCATTCTCATCAGATTTCATTTCATTTCATTTTGTGATTTTGATTTGCTATTTTGTCATGTTATTCCTATTCATTAGATCTTATCCAAGAATAATGTATTGTGGGTATATTTGTCTTAATAAATCTATAACCATTGTCGCTTTTTAGTAGCTTTATTGTCCTGATGAGAGCAGGATAACTCTTCAAATAGGATCATAAACAATGAATTCTGACATTGTAATTTATGATTCAGCTGAAAATGCAAATGATGTATAATTAAATGTAATTTAATTAATTAATACATTAGCACATTAATTCCTATTAATGTATATAAATTTAATTAATTACAGGAAAGTCTTTTTTAAATGGAAGAGTTGTGGGGATTCTCTTTTAGCCCTTTTGCTATTGAAAATTACATTCACATAAACACATACAGTGGTTGGGGAAATACATGTTTGTTTTTTATTTCTGGCAGAATTAAAAACAAGTAGGGAGGTGCTTCCGGCTGCCACCCTTTATTTATTATTGGATCCCCTTAAGAATTTTTTAAAATTAGTTTTTTGTTTTAATGAAACAGAAGCAAAATGATGAACACTTCTCCCAGCTTAGAGTCATACTCCTACAATCCTGCACTTGCTTTTTGCAAGCAAAAGATCACCCCTAATTATTCATATGAACATAATTCTTATAGAATTAGTGCACAAATTATTCTATAACCCTTTAATTGTAGTTTTTCTGTTATACCTCTATTTTGGTTATTATTTCTCCATTTTTATAAATGAGGCACTGAAGTGAAACAGTAATGTAACCAATAAAATGTGTAGTTTTAAATATTCACATTTAGCATTATGTTCCAAAAAAAACTGCAATGTAATTGCTAATCTAAATAATTTTTGGATCTTGGTTTATTAATATGTGTGGAATTGTCCGTTTTTTTTAATTTAGTGTGGAAGTGTGTGAGATTCATTAGTCCACGAATAGAAATTAGCTCAGGCAACAGATCTCCCTGCATTTCTCCCCAAAAGCTTCAGTAGATTATTGTGAAAACCTCTCAAAAATTGCAGCTTCTGTTTTATAGATCTATAACTGGAGAAGAGAGGATTTTCCTGAAATGTGACAGAATATTGGCTGTATATATATTTTCAACTATAGCCACACATTTCTCTAAAATCAAATCTTCTGCAATTCTATTTTAAAGGCTGCTTATTAAAAAAACTAAAGGAAAACAAATGCAAGCTATTACATCTAAAGTTGACATATATTAACATTATAGTTTCTGTCTCTAATATTGTTTTTTAGATATATGTAAGAGCACAATTTGAATATGATCCAGCAAAGGATGATCTTATTCCCTGCAAGGAAGCTGGCATCAGATTTAGAGTTGGCGATATTATTCAGATTATTAGCAAAGATGATCACAATTGGTGGCAGGGTAAACTTGAGAATTCAAAAAATGGAACTGCAGGCCTCATTCCTTCTCCTGAGCTTCAGGAATGGTATGTTATTTGGTAATTGGTAAACATGAATGTAATTTCCTTTAATTTTTAATAATTGAATTTGTCAGTATTTCATATTTTAAATATTTGTGTCATTGGTTGATAAAAAGAATGCTTGAATTAGGTAACTTGACTGGTTAGACTATCACTGAAAATACATGCACGTAGTTGACATATAAATGGTATAAAGTAAATATGAACTGTTCATTGGATCAGAGGTTCCCAACTTTTTGGGCACCAAGGACCAGTTCTGTGGAGAGAGGTTTTTCTGCAGACCGGAGGGGAGGGTGCATGATTTTGTGTGCTGCCTGCATCCCGCAGATGTGGCTTTGCTTGTGTATGCGGCCCAGTTGCTGGCATGCCATGGCCCGGTACTGGTCCACGGACCAGGGGTTGGGTACCCCTTCATTAGATCACTCGCTATAGAAATTTAGCTGGCAGTTTTCCTAAGTAAAAAATCATATTCCTTCAGCCTCTGATAAGAGGAGGTAGAGATGGATACTTGAAAACCTCTGTGTAAATAAAGAAAAAAATTATTAGCCTTATCAAAAGTTACCTAAAACAATAAGAAAGGAAGAAGATGATCCTGCTATTATTGTCCCATAGCCCAGCTGATGTTTTTTTAATCTAAAATGTTTAATTTAATCTTTCACAAAATCCAATATGAACACCAGATTGATTAGACCTCATTTAACAAAGGTAATTGGGATTGGCAATTCCATCATTAAGCAACGCAGTTTTAAAATGTGACATCACATGACTTCACTGACTTACAACATCAGTTGTGGCAATTCCAATTGCCATATTAGGTGAATCCTATGTAGTTGTTAGGCATGACTATGTGATCACCATTTGTGATTTGCCAGCTTCCCCTTTGACTTTCCTTATTAGAGGTTGGCAGTAAAGGTCACAAATGGCATTCACATGATCACAGGACACTATAATTGTTATAATTCTAACTGGCTGCCAGGTGCCTGAATTGCAGTCATGTGACTACAAAAATACTACACTAAGAGGATTGTCTATAAATGTTCTTACCCAATGCTGTTGCAATTTTGAACAGTTGCTAAACAAGTGGTCATTAAACAAGGATTGCCTGTATATGACATTGTATCTGCAAGCACACTAACTTTTTTCAGTTTAACTATTACTCCTGAAACAGTTTCAGACTCACAGAATACACTGACAATACCCATCTCTTAATCTTATTATGTTGGTGAATTTTTATTTCCACTGTTTTTCACTCATGTCTTTACATATAACATAAAACAGGGGAAAAATGATTGAAATAAATATGACGAGTATATTTCTGCCTGGATACTATGACAATAAAAACAGCCAGCTCACAATAGTTGAAAAATATTCTTCCTTTCCCCAAATTGATTTGTTAAGTAGAGTATAAAAGATTACAGATGGTTTAGAAAAGTGGTAAACTATTCCAGATAACAATTTATTTTCTATGTAAAAAGTTTCATCAGATGGCATTTGTTTCATTGCAATCACTATCATTATAATGGACTTCAAAAAAGTTACGTTGCTTTTAATTTGGCCTGAAATATACAGTTCTTGTATTTTAGTTTCTTTTCTTAATACTTCAGAATCCTTAGCAATATACTATACTGACATGTAGTGTCTTATAGAGGTCAATGAAGAGAGTGCTGCCACAGTACTAATAACTAAAGTCATTTTTAAATTTTGTTCTCTGCAGAAACTCCCTTACTACTTGGCAACCTGAAATGAATCCACTAACTCTAAAGAGGCAATAAACTGTCTCATCAGTTAATTTCTGTATTTTGTTTATGTATTCTTTTTTCTGAGTATTCTCCCCTCATTTTATCCTCACACCAATAATCTCATGCCTCAATGATTGAGATAGCCCAATGGGTTTATTTGGGTAATACTTATATTATGCTAGCCCACCTAGCAATTCAAAAAATATGCAGATGCGAGTAAATAAATAGATAATATTTTGGTGGGAAGGTAACAAATGCTCTGCATTGCGGTGTGATGTCAGGCTGGCCACATGACCGCAGAAACATCTTTGGACAACACTAGCTTCCTCAGCTAAGAAACAGAGATGAGTATTGTCCCTTAGAGTTGGACACAACAACTGGACAGGGGAAATTTTTACTTTTAGCTATATTACACTATATTACACCTAATGAGAAGGAAGGACTCACTGGAGCCTAATGCTGGGAAAGATTGAGGGCAATAGAAGAAGGGGACGACAGAGAATGAGGTGGCTGGATGGAGTCACTGAAGCAGTAGGCGTGAGCTTAAATGGACTCCAGAAGATGGTAGAGGACAGGAAGACCTGGAGGAACGTTGTCCATGGGATCGTGATGGGTTGGACATGACTTCACAACCAACAACAACAAATATTACACTGATCTTAAACCACTTCTGGGTCATAACTGCTTGGTTTCAAAAGAACTACATAATACAATATAAATCACTCTGGATCTTGATTCTGTTTTGGTAGCCTGTTTCTATAATGGCTGGGAATTTCTGACTTTAGCTATTAAAAGTAGTTTCATGGTAACACAGTTGATAATTTAGTCTGCCAAGAAGTCCATTAGAATATTAGTGGAAGCGATGAATGTACACAAATTCAGTTACCTCCCTTGTCCCTGATTTAGGAAAGTATACCCTGGTTATTTGTAAAAGCAAACATATCTACTATGTAGATATATTTCTTGAATTTAATTTGATCGGTACCTGATGATGCCATGTCCTTGTATTGAGAGAATGTCTGTGTGAATATTGTCACAGGAGTTTTCTCATTGTATCTATGTTTTGGGCCATGACACCAGAAAAATTTTGAAAACTAGAGAACATTCCAATATATCCTGTCCTCTTAGATAGTCCTCTTAGTACTATTATAGTACTATTGCTATCCTGCAAAGTTCTCAACCACTGCAGCTAATTTTATAGTCTCCTGAGTGGCTGCTACACAAGTAAAGAAGGGCTCTGTACTTTTAGAATACTCATTTAAGATTTCCATTTGAAACCTTGAAAATATTTTAATCTGTCTATCAGTAAAAAGAGGGATGGGGATATAATTTTCTGAATTAATAATATTAAAATAGGTCACCTTAAATGTACAGCTGATAGTTGTTTCCTGTTCACTTGCAAGGCGAGTAGCTTGTATTGCTATGGAGAAGACTAAACAAGAGCAGCAGGCAAGCTGTACTTGGTTTGGAAAGAAAAAGAAGCAGTACAAAGACAAATATTTAGCAAAGCACAATGCAGGTGAGAAAAATACAAATCTATCTCAGATGTTCTTAAAATTGCTGCACTATTAGCTTCTTAAACATTAATGTTAATTTCTGAGTGACACATTTAGTTAAAAAAAAAATCAATGTGTTCAAACACATTAGCCAAAAAAGGAAATGTAATTATTAGCTAAATTTAGTTAGTTATTTACATTTACCTTTGGGGCAAAATCAGTATTTTGAAAAAAAATAGATGATAGGTAACCTAAGATTTTGTGCATGAAAATGTTTGCAACTTGAATATGCATTAAAGGTCATTATTAATAATTATGCAGATGAATTAAAGAATCATTAATTTTATTATTTTATTTATATTCCTTGAGAGTTTGAGCATATTCTGATATAATTGAAATATAAATGAAATTATACATATTCTAAACCTATTCTGTATTATTTGGATTTGGATTATTTTTAATTAATAAATTAAAAATGACAACCATGTTAGATAGCACTCCTTTTGAAGTTTATTTCTGTAAATAAACTGAACTGCTACTAAATTAAATGTGTAACTGGAGATTTAAATAATACTGTTTGTATATGCTAAATGTTCTTAATTGTATATATTTTTTATTCCTTGAAAATTGCAGAATGTTTTGCAAAATGTTTTTCTTTTCCTCCAGATTGATTATTTATTTATTTAATTCATCACATGTCTATACTGCCCATCTCATCTAAGTAACTCTGGGTGGTTTACAGTACAAACATGTCACAAAATTTAAAAGCATTAATAAAAGTAAAGATAAAAAAGAAAATTAAAACATAGGGTTATATAGTATTAAAAATTAAAAAGCGGAAAGAACACCCTCACAACACCAATCATCCTGAGGGTTGCCTAACACTCTTCAACCCCTATGCCAATTGGCAGAGCCAAATCTTAACACTCTTTATGAAGATCAGAACAATGGGGGTCCACCTCACCTCTGAGGGTAAGGTGTTCAAAAGACAGGGGCAATGGAAGAGAAGGTTCTCTTCTTGGACTCTGCTAAGTGAATTTTTTTTTTTAACCTATGTAATCTGCAACATACCTTCCCTGCCTGATCCAATGAGACATGACAACATAACAGTTCCTCAGGTAACCTGTTCCCATACCATTTTGGAAGCAAAATGGCACCCAATACAGCTTGTGTAGCAGAGATATGTGCAACCCTAGAGGCACCCAGGCTTGCTCACATTATCACATTCTGCACCAGTTATAGCTTCTAGATACTCTTCAAGAATAGCCTTAAGTAAAGTGCATTGCAGTAACCTATGACCAAGGTATGAATGACTGCAGGACTTTTAAATCCAGGAATGGGTTAGGGTTAGGTTTAAGTTGAGCAAAAGTCTTACTGCTTCTAGACCAGTCTTGTGTCCAGGGGGACCCCCAGATTACCCACTAGTCCATCTGTTACAATTCAACTTCATCCAGGACCAAAGATTCTAAACCCCCAGATACAGAGAAGCCTTCTACCCATAGCCACTCAGACTTATCAGGATTCAGTTGAAGCCTGTTGTTTCCCATCAGCCTCCAAGCACCATAAAAGGGTGCCCACAATATCACTTAATGATACCTCATCCCACATAATGGATTATCTCACCCAGCAGTTTCATGTAGATGTTAAAAGGTAGCAGAAGGAACACCAAGCCCTGCAATACTTTTCAAACAGTGGCTGCAGGCTAGACTTCTCGCTCCCTATAACTCCTCAACTGATTGGGACCAGTTTCAGAGAAGGTGAACCAGCAGAGAACTGTGTCCCCCCATCTCCAGCTCCTTAAGGTAGCCCCAAAAGATACCTACAGAAGGTTAACAAGAGCCAGGATGGATTCATGAACCCTATCCCTCTCTTGCCATCCAAAAGTGCAAATAATGCTATTTCAGTCCCATATCTAGACCTGAAACATAAGTAGAAGTGGTCCACATAATCTGTTTTATCCAGGATCCTCTGGACCTGCAGTGTGGCCACTTTCTCCATCACCTTTACTTAGAAGGAGAGATGAGAGGCTGGATTAAAATTATCCAGAACGGTACGGTCCAGCGATAGCTTCTTGAGAAGAGGACACATCAGTGCTTCTTTAAATGGTGCCAGGAATACTCCCTCACTGAAGGATGCATTCATTATCACTAAGACCCACCTATATATCACCTCCCAGGTGGCCTCATACAGCCAAGAGGAACATGTATCTAAATCAGGGGTGGTCATACTTAACAATTCTGAGGCCCCTGCCCACTTTCTTAGGTCCAACAGAATCAAACTATTCTTCAATAACTGGATAAGAACATTCCCCAGGCAACTCCAATGGACCTGCATCATGCTTGATCTCCCAACTGAGAACAGTTCTGTGCAATTTCATTTGCCAGATGCATTGAAAATTCCTCACCATGGCCCTGAAGGTGAACCTCAGAGTCCCTTTTACCCAAAAGGAAATATGTGGCCCTAAACAAGTCTGCTGGGTAGCACTCTGCAAATGCAATAAGAGCAGAGATATGGTGATGTTTTGCTGCTCTTATCGCCATGATGGAGGCTCTCTAACTTGTGATCAATCACATTCACTCCCTGTCCTCCTTCAATAGATATCTAAATGTCTCTTGAACTTTTCAACTCTTCTGTAAACCAGAGGGAGTGCCAGGCTCACTGCCCAAGGCCTTCACTATTCCCAGTAGCAGCCAAGCCTTGGCAGGAAGAACCTCAAGAACAACCCCCAACTCCATTTGAAATCTCACCAGGTCCCTCAGTTGCTGGAGGCACAACCAATCAAATAGGTCGTGCCTCCTTGCAAAGGGGGTAGCATAGGAAAATCTCAATGTCACCTGGGCATAATCCAACCATGACAGGATGGACAAGGAAAATTCCACTCTCCGATCACATTACTACTGATCCAAAAAAAAAACATGTCCAGTGTTCCAAGTCAGGATAGGATGATGGTGGCCATGAAATTCTGAGCTGCTTCTGAGGGGAGCTTCAAGGATGGCAAATTGAAGTCCCCTAAGACCATAAACCTTGAGAGCTCCACTGCCAACCCTGAGATGACAGGCAGAGAGGTTGCTACAATGCAGGGAGGCTAGTACAGCAGCAACAGTCCTAGCTGATCATGTGAGTCTATCTTCAGAAACAGGGTCTCACAACCAGCAACTTGCGGAACACACCAACAGATTCTCGAATGACAACTGCTCCCTGCCCGGGAATCTTGGCTTATGCCACACCTGAAATCCCACCAGGCACATTTCATAAAAGGGAACCACACCTTCTGGCCCTGTCAGATCTTGATAATCCAGGTCAGCTTGCTCCTCCCTGATAAGGTCACAAATAAGGGGAGCTTTATTATTGACTGACCTGGCATTAAGCAGCAGCAGCTGAAATCCTGGATCTTTGTAGGCCTGTTGACCAGGGTTTGGGCCTAAGCAAAGAGGACCAGAATGCACCACTGGTACCAAACTCCAGGGGCATCTTCCCCAGTAACAACCCCTCTGCCTCTCATCAAAATGCCCATCACCATCTGAATGTACTGTTCTGTCCTAGACCCCCAGAGTATACATTCCCCCCCCCCAACTCTGGCCTGGTTCCCCTGGCTTAGGATCCCTCCATCCACTCATATGATCCAACCACCCTCCTATTGATCCAGGTATAGAGGCGAATACCCACAGCACTTTAGCTTTCACTCTTAGTACTGCCCGGAGCCTTAAGCCATTAATCCAACTCCCATCCAACTGTATCACCCTAGCAAGCCTCTCCCTAACTGGCAAGATGGTGCTCCAATCACTTTTCCCTTCTTCCCAAATACTACTCAAGAAAGTGGGTAACAAAATCTTACATACACATGCACACACACACACACACACACTCCCAGGTCTAATAGCATCCACAAGGGTACTTTCAGACCCACATGGGGGTCCCTATTGAATCAGTCTCCAAGGGGTGTATGTTTGGGCCCACTGGGCACTTGCAGCTTTTGCTACTGGCCACAGTGCTACCTGCCACTTGCTGCCCACCTGGTATCTCCATCTATATGGATAGCTTTTTAAAAAGATGCAATAACAAATATGGTTGGAAAGATGGGTTAATATATTTCTGGAAGGGAAAGAAGAATCAGAAGTGTTTACTTTCTGGAATGTTCTAAATTTGCCAGAAGAAACATAAACTTTTGAGATTTCTAATTTTCTTTACCAGACAAAAAGTCACGAGGCCTACATGGTAAAAATGAAAATGAAAGGTGGAAAGTATCAGAAGACTTGCAAATATATTTTATTTAAATTCCATCCATGAAGACTTTTATCACTTTAAATCAAATCAGGTTTTTTTTCACTTTTTTGTCTGATGAAGAGAACTGGACGTATCAAAAGTTTGCAGATTTTGTGATTTATTTTTTTTGTGAAGTACTTGAACAGTTGGAAAACAGAAATGCAGGTATTGTTAGACAAGAAAAGTATTACTTAATTAATTTATATTAGAAAAGCTGTGTCAGAGTTCTATTCAAATATATATGTATTAAAATGTAAGCATGGTAAGCAATATAGATCCTTTTCATCACTTGCCTTATATTTGCTTATAGAATAATATCAATTACTTTGTCTATTTTATTTTTTGATACTGTGTGTACAGTTGAAGGCATTGTATTATTAATATAAATGGTGACTTCAGCAAAGATGAAGACCACAGCTGCTCTCTAGTTACTCACCTGTTAAGAGATAATTAATAACAGTGATAGAGGGAGAATATTTTGCCTAGGTTTTCCCACAAAAAAAAATTTTTAAGCAATATTTTGAATCAATATTCTTCATTTTTGCCATTCTTCCTCATGTATTTCCATGCTGTGGCTTTTCCCACCTTTTAATATGTTTTTGTTCTGAATCACTCCTTATTCCAAGTTGCTCATTTGCATTCTTCCCAGGGCTATGTATATTTGTTTCCTAGAATTTTTGTTACTTTTAAAAATATTAAAGTTTTGAATAGCAAAGTTTACTAAAGTTTATTAATAGTAAAAGATAATACAGACTAGAAG